CCCCAACAGCAGTAAGTCACCGCTGAAAATTTGTTTGGAGAGAGACAACTCGGAGTTGGCAGTGATTCTTTTACAGTATGGAGCCGATGACAATGATTTGGTTGAAAAAGACGGGGACAGCATTTTACATGAGTCGCTGCGAATCGGTCTCAGGAAAGGTGAAAATAGAATCAGATTTGAATAAGCGTACTGTACAAATCACTTATTCACTGGAACCAGAGAAGCCTTCACCACCGTAGATCAGTTTTTAAATGAGTCACGAAACTAATCTGATATAGTAATGTCTTACCTTTATCTTTCCTCGCCCTTGAATCGGTCTGGAAAAATTGGCGCCACTCTCAACCAATCAGATGCTGACGGACAGACATGTATACACACATAAATATGTACATGCGTACATACGTACGTACGACCGTACGTACTTAACCACATACTTACAAACTGACATGCATACATATATACATTATTAAATCTGCCTAAGAGGGCTTTTCAGCATCAATAGAATCACTACAATTACCACTGACAGTAACTATTGCAAACTGAATCAACTTAGAATTAAGATGAATTGAGAACATAAGCGAACAACTACATGATAATAATTACAAATGTGGAATAGAGTCAATATAGTAGGCCATGAATCGTGAAACATTTACGTCAAACACATGGTAGAATGCATCATTCTTATTGTTTTTTTCTTGTTAACAGGCAACTTCGCCATATTAAAGCTCTTCCTCGACGAGAAAAGATATTCTGTCGATTTGCAGGACGCAGACGGAAACACTCTTCTGCATATCCTTTGTCGAGGAAAAATAAATTCCAAGAGACAAGAAGCTATGCAGCTTGTTCTCGAAGCGGGAGGCAATCCACTGATTTCAAACAAACAAAAACAGAAGCCCATGGATCTTCTTACTGCGTTAGTTGGGTAAAGTGTCTTAGACTAGATTAATTGTATAGTTGAAGGTATCCCATTAATTCTTCATTTTTTTCAAACCTAACTTGGTTTTCATTTTCTGTGATTGATTAATAAGTGGACCATTAGTTTGCTAACAAATTGTTTGAGTTCACATTCGTGTCTGATGAATTTATTATCCCCTGTCTATTCATTTATGTCTAATGTTACATTTTCACTTTGTTATTGTTACCAGGGATAATAGGAGAAACCTACTGAGCTTAGCCCAAGAGAATTTTAACACTGAACCTTCCCTCGATTCAAATTCCGTAGAGCAAAACTTGGAAGAAAAACTCGACGGGGCGAAAGTTGAGGGAGGTTCCATCGAGGAACCAGAGTCTCCGCGTCCTCTAAGTGACAATCCAACCACTCCTCCTTCCATGTCATCCTCAAAATCAAATAATCTGAAAAAGGAGCCTTTAGCCATTGTCCGCGAACGTGTCCTGTCACTTATCAAGAAGTTAGATGTGCGTGACTTGCTCAAAACATCAAAGAAAGTCAAAAAAGTGATTCCACACGAGAAAGCTGAGTTGTACGTGAACAGGGAAGAGCAATATTGCGGGAGTCATCAGCAGCAGATTTGTCGAGTTGAAGAAGATAACCGAACTTTCCTAAAACATGAATCAAATGAATTCCTCGTTGATAAAGGAAACGATGACAATGTGGTCAAGTTGTCTTCCTTCGAGGGCTTGCCTTGGGATGTGGAGTGCACTGCAAAAGTTTGGAAAATATTAAGCGACAAACGACTAGAGTCATGGATAAAAGATCGCTTTTTCGACAAGGTCAGAAGTCTTGCTCAAGGCCGAGACAACTGGACCCCACACTTGTGTAAAAGACTTGAAGGTCTCCCGAAGAGCCGTGGCATGCTTTTGTATGAAACAAGATTGACAGATGCTGCAAGAATCATCTGGGAATGTGCAGTTGCTTTCTCCCCCCGATATTCAGACAAAGACAGTGAAATGAAGTCCACGATCTATTCGGAAACAATCCGAATATGGGATATCGAGTTTGATCATGACAATGTCTCGCGCGCCATAGAAAACATCGTTACATCATTCACTCGTGGCAAAGGTTGCAACCTGAGAAAGGAACTCAGGGGAATTCCTAGGGAAGAGGCCTCCCAAAACCAGGGTCCAAATCTGTACGTTAAACTTACTGAAGAAAATATGTGTGCTCGCTCATCTACCCAGGTTAAACGAGAAGAAGAGGCGGTAAATTCTGAAATGAGTGATGATGAAGTGACCTTCTTTCCTCCAGCTAGCCATAATGATAATGAGTATCAAGTATTAAAGTTTTACCACCTATCCAGCGCCATGATCCAGGCCATACGGGAACAGCAATCGTGTAATGTCGAGATCGACTTTCCATTTCGAGTGACAGAAGAGGAGTATGACATTATCAACTTTGAGCCTACCCCCCAGAGCTCCATCATTTTGATTGGGCGGAGTGGAACTGGAAAAACAACTTGCATCCTATATCGTCTGTGGAAATGTTTCTTGCAATACTGGAGAAGTGCCTCAAAAAGCGGGCCATGGATACCGAAGAACACTGTTTTTCTTCCTAAAGAGAGCCCAGAGTCGTACTTAGAAAAGCCTAACACAGATCATGATGTCGAAAATACTCACATCAAATTGCAAAAGGCGCAGAGTAGTTGTGACAGTGGAGTAGCGGCTGGCGATTGTGATGAGGTAACTGCCTGTTGTCTTGAGGATTTATCTGAGCAAATCAGAACTGGCTCTGAATCTGGCGAACGTTTTGAACATCTTCATCAGTTGTTTGTAACCAAGAATGGTGTCCTTTGTCAAGAAATCCAAAAGAATTTCAAGGCCTTGAGTCAAGCATGCTTATTTATTAAACATGATTCGAAGCCAGATAAAGCCGCGCCTCTCAAGCTTCAGGACGTCGATGACACTTCAGAGGCCTGGCCACTCTTTTTGAATGCACGTGACTTTTACATCATGTTAGATGCCTCTCTTCCCGAGCCTTATTTCTTTCCACGTAATGAAGATGTAAGCTTGCAGGGGAGAGTGCAAGACTGGGGTGAAGAAGGCAATCAGTTGTCTACTATTCCTGTTCTGGATGAAGACGAAGACGAAAACGAAGATTCCAAAGATGACACAGATGAGGAGGAGGAAGAGGAGCCTTTGGAACCCACTGAACCCACTTTGCGTCAGGGAAGATCCATGATCCTGGTCAGTTACAGTATTTTTGAGAACAACTTGTGGCCAAAAATGTGTAAGAAAAAGAAGCAGATTAGCTTCCACCCATCGTTGGTTTGGATGGAGATACGATCATTTATTAAGGGCTCATACGAGGCTCTACATACAGGAAGCGGTCATCTTAGTTTTGAGAAATATCAAAGAATTGGACGAAAGAGGGCGTCTAACTTCAAAGATGAAAGTAGAACAGAAGTTTATAAGCTGTTTAGATCTTACGAGCACTTCAGGAAATTGTCCAACATGTTTGATGAGAACGACGTTGTGTTCCATCTGTATCACCGATTGAGGCAGTGCGTAGTTCCTGATTGGTCAATCCACGAGTTGTACGTAGATGAAACGCAGGACTTCACTCAAGCAGAGTTGATGCTGCTAATACGCTGTTGCCGTGATCCCAATGCGATCTTTCTCACTGGAGACACCGCCCAAAGTGTAATGCGAGGTATTTCCTTTAGATTCGAGGACCTGGGATCACTATTCTTTTACCTCAATGAAAACTACAAAGCTGTTGGAGCTCAAGCTGAAATCGTCGTTCCAAAGAGAAAGCAGCTCATTTTAAACTATCGGTCACACAGTGGAGTTTTAAGTTTGGCCTCCAGCGTCGTCGACATTTTGCAGAAATATTTTCCTAAATCATTTGACAAGTTGGATAAAGACCAAGGGCAGCTGGATGGTCCCAAGCCAGTACTCCTTGAGTCGTGCAGTCCATCAGATCTTGCGATTATTCTTCGTGGAAATAAGCGTGAGACAACCACCATTGAATTTGGTGCTCATCAAGTCATCCTGGTGGCTTCTAACGAAGCAAGAGAAAGTCTTCCGGAAGAACTTAGCCACGCACTGGTGCTGACAATTTACGAGGCGAAAGGATTAGAATTTGATGACGTTCTTGTTTACAACTTCTTCAAAGACTCACAGGTGAGGACAAACTTAAGTGACGCCTTTTTGTCTAGTCGGAGTGAATCTCTGAGTGTAAGATTTTAGGATGTGATGGTATATCTTCCGCATGTTTTTCTCTAGAGGGTAAAATTGCGAGTTAGGATAAGTCTTGAATTTGGATTTTGAAGATGTGTCTTAGAATGAGAGAAATGACGAACTCTAAGCTCGGAGGTGAGATGAAGAGAGGTGTGTTTTCATTCTCTCACGAGTGTGGTTCGATTCCTTATGGGAATTTCGGTTTCCCACGTTCGTGACAAGGAGAAAAAGCATCTCTCTTCAAGACATGTTCCGGCATGGAGTGCTGCGATTTCTTCGTGTGAAATATATCTCTTTTTTGCATAAAGAAGTCGATAAAGAACTAAGTCGATATTGAAAGATAGGTGCCAACTCTAGAAGAAATAGACTCCTCATTACACCGCAAAATTATTGTTTTGGATTCTTTAATTATATTAGTCATTTTTTTACATAGGCGTGTGCTGAGTGGAGAGTTGTTACGCAATATCTGGTGGAGGTGGTGGGCAACGAGACCGGGAAAGTAAAATCCCGTCCATTGGCGTTCAACTTTGAGAAGCACAGAATCCTGAACTCCGAACTAAAGCAACTTTACACAGCGGTAACTCGAGCCCGAGCAAACGTTTGGTTCTTTGACGAAGATGAGGAAAATCGGCGACCTGTATTCGAATACTTCGAGCAACTCGGCCTGGTGAACGTGGCAAAACTACAAACAGACATGGGAAATGATCCCTGTTGTAGCCAGGCTTTACAAAATATGTTCTCCAGGTCGTCATCTCCAGAAGAATGGGAAAAACAGGGAAACTTCTTTTTCAGCAAGAAGCTTTGGAAGGTTGCAGAGAAGTGTTTTGCAATTTGTGGTAACGGCGAGATGAGTCAAAAATGCAAAGCTTACGTACAAGCAGACTATGCACGAACTCTTCACAGTGAGCCACGGCGTTTGAAGGAGGAGTTCTTACGCGCAGCTGACCAATTTCTTCAATGCAATATGATTTTAGAGACTAAGGTGTGCCTGTACAATGCAAGGGAGAGAACCCTATATGCAAGCCTTCTTCAGAGACTCGGCGAGGTAGGAGTCAGCCATTTGAGTTCTAATTTTGGTTGCACTGAAAATCGGATGTCCCTGTAGAGAATCTGTGTCAACGTCCGTTTTGAAAAGCTAAATAAGGTTCCACTATTGACCAGCGATTATAAACACTAATCTACTTATGCTGCTGCTGGTTCTCAGCTCATTTTCTATCATAGTTTGGTACAGCAGAAATGTATTTGACAGAATCAGTTAAAGCTAGGAAAAGTAAGGGCCACTGGTTTGCGTTTCATGGTGAAGCATTTAATTTTATCTTTACAGGAGAAGGACGCGATAAAATGGTTCGAAAGAGCGGGTAGCTTTTTAGAAGCAAGTCGGTGCCTCGAGAAGCTTGGAAACTACAAGGAAGCAGTAGAAGTCCTTATCCGAGGGAACCTTTACCAAAAGGCTATCGATGTTCTCAAGCGTTTCGAGAAGCTATCATCAACTGATCAGAAAGAGGTTCTTGCACCCGGAAGAAGTCTACAAGAATTGTGCTTAGCCTCTGCTGAACTCAGTTTCAAGGGTGGAAACATGACGGAAATGCACAACTCACTCAAGTTTGTTAATCCTGTGGAAATTCGAGTTGAATTTTTGAAAAAGCGCAAGTTACTTGACGACGCTGCAAACGAATTTCTTAAAGAGGGGAAAGCAGTCGAAGCAGCAAAGATAATGAGAGAAAAGGGATCCTTTCTAGTCGCAGCTGACTATGCTAAAAGATCTGGCCACCATCGACTTGCAGCTGATTGTACTTTGGCGCTCGTTCGTAGCACAGTGGACTTGCCAAGAGAGGAGCAAGCTAAACATCTACGTGAAGCTAAAAACCTTTACAAAGAAGCAGGCCAGATGAATGGTTTCGCTGAAGTTCTGTTAGAGGAAGCTAAGTGTATTGCAGACTGTACGAAAGCAGTAGAGGCTGCCGGGATTTTCAATTCACCCACAAATTATAACATCTGTGGGGAGCTGGAATGTGTTGGGGTAATGTTAGATTGCACTCATCCGGATCATCCTGGTCTTTCTGATATTAACACTTTCCTTGCAGTGAGATTGGTGCGAAATGTCCTTCAACTGATCAAATCCCTGAATGCCAGCAATCTGGACGTAATGACACAGAAGGAAATCGACCGGTGTGAGGAGTACTTTGGACTTTTCAGAGAAGTTGATCCATCTAAAAGAGTTATAAGACGTAAAGAAGGAGATCGCTTTCTTTACTTCGCCCAAAGACTACAGAAACGCCCTTTTGCCGGCAACAGATGGGAATTGGATCTCCAAGATGTCCGTGAACGCATAGCTGAAGTTCTCTTTAACAGAGTCACCCAGCTTATTCAATCGATCCGTGTTCTCCTGGATAAAACGTTCATAACAAATCAGAGCTGCCAGAACTTTTTGATGGGCTTTCCTTGCAATTCCGGAAGTTGTCATCTCCAACACAAGCCCCCATCCCAGAATACCAATGCCGCACTGTTCAAGGCAATTTTAGATGAAATGTATCTTGATGCTCAAGCTTACGACTTTCAAAAATTGGAAAAGAAATATGACAGGTGGGAGATCAATTCACCAAACCCAACTAAAGACTCGGAAAACCCTTTTCCGAGAGATGGCTTTGCATCTTGTGAGAAACTATTTGAATTTTTATTTCCTGCCAGTGGTCAATCAGCCGATTTCCCCCTACATTCTTACATCTCTTATTTCCGAGATAGAACGCCTTGGTTTTTCAAGCAGCGTCTTTTAAAATTTGCCGAAGAAGTTTGGCAGAAGCGCGCAACGAATGAAGACAAGCTTCAAAGTGCTGATGTCTTCCTGACTGTTTCGCATCTCCTTCAGCTTATTGGCTCTCCTTCGTCTAGAATTCTTTCCTGGATTGCAGATACCGAAGAGGAGTTCAGGAGAAGCTGCGTCATGCTAAACGGCAAGCCCAGTATTCCGAAAACAGTAGGTATTGTTGTCGAGGAAGGTACAAAGATGACTTTATTTTCACGGTGGTGGGAAATGTCCAAGACATATTTACATGCGTGTGGCGACGTCGTTGAGGCTGGGCACAACGCAATTCGCCGTTTCTTATCGATGACTGCAAACCCAGGAAAACGACTTCCATTCCCTTTGCCGAAAAATTGTTTGGATATCCTGGAATACTTCATGTGTGTGTTCCTCACTTTGTTCGCTCGACTTCAACAGGCTCAGAATTCTCGCGATCTCGTGTGTCTACCGGCTCGTTATTTATCCGTCATGTCATTTTGGAACAATCTTAACTGTACCACTTCCGAACATGTTGAAATTTACCAGGCAGTTTTCTTGTATCAAAGTCATCCATCGACCATTAGTGACGTGAAAAAGTTCCTGCGTGACATGGTGTCTCTTATGCTAGGCGGATATTCCCAGAAGTTCAACGTACTAAAGAAAGTCCTTCATCGTAAGGAGAGTATTCGCACAGGAGAAGCAGAACGGGCACTTATCTTGGTCCTAACTCTGTTATGCAATAGTGGTCACTCAGTTCCACACGAGAGCGAATTCAGGCTCCTAAAAAACCTTTACATCAAACCACTTCCTGAAGTCAAGCTTCCCGACAGGATGGTGGTCTGCCTGGAACAAGTTCAAGAGGCCAAAGGAATCCGTGAGATTGTTGTTATTCTTCAGAATCTGTTGAGAGAGAAAGGTGAGAAATTGTGCACCGTTCATTGGGAAAACGTTCATCGACAGCTTTGGTGGCAAGAGGTGAACCCTGAATGTTACCGTAACAACTTTTGTACTAATGTTTTGGAAAGATTGGCTCAAAGAACAGAAGAACTTCCAGCCGAAGAGGTGATAGAGTCAAAAGATGTAGAGGAAGGATTGTTGGACGAACTTAACGCAGACGAGGACCACCCCATTAGAGATTTAGACCGTTCGCAAACTGACAAGTTGGAAGCTATAGAGAGAGAAGAGGTCATTCAAGCCGAATCCTGGGAGGAATCTAATGAAATGGAAGCGCTGATTCCTGAAGAAATTCCTCATCAACAGGATGCTCTTGAAGACCCGGTAAATTCATACTTCAGCCCTTTTAAAGTTGATCAGTCCGGCTGCAGTATTTGTAACGTACGTTTCAGCTCAGAGAAGAGTGATAAGGTGCAGTTTTCTGGGGAGGAATGGGAAAAGCAACCAGATGATAAAAATCCTATATCTAGCAGCTTTACAGATTACTCAACTTTGGAAAGTCACCAAGCCGTTGGTAGCCCACACTTTAAGAAAATAGAGGAGTTTAATGCCTATCGAAGGCTATTTGTAGACGAGCTGCTTCCGCAGCACACAAAATTAAGCAGCTTAACAAGTCAGGCTGAGTCACTCTTAAGGACCGCAGAACAGCTTGGAAGGCAAATGAGCATTTTAAGTAACAAGATGGACGAAGTTAAGAGGGCTGAAACCAATATAGCTGACATAACCAATGATATCCAACACCACTGTAACTGGGCAAACCTTGAGCCGTTCAAGGCAGCCATTGCAGCCCTTAAAAAGGCTTTGAAGTCTTGCGAGGAGGAAATTTTGTCAGAAAAAAACTCACGACTCACAGGTTAGTGGTGTTTGTGCACCTTTGCCATCTTTTTTTTCCTATCATTAAAGGTGCAACGAACGTTCTTTTTTCGGTTTTAGCGCGGTCTCGCCCGAAAAAAACGCCCGATTGCTAGTAACTGTGTAAGCGGTTTTGTGATTTATGGATCTATTTTTTGAAGATTAATTTTTCTGTTTAATGGTTTATTTATATATTCCATTCGCAAACTCCCAGATAAGACTTGATGTGGAAGAGAAGGAGAACTGTTGAAAACAAATGCTTTAAAATCATATCAGAATGTGTGAATTATATTTCCCTGTTTGTTAGTGAACTTTGAATTGCGATATATTTACGAGCTAGTATCGTTACCAAGACTCATCATATGTTTGTTATTGACAGATGAAAGCAGACTTGTCCCATCGGTTGTAAGTGACCCGTCCGACTGGGACTTGGATAACGACCAGGATGGTATGGCTGGCAGATATGCTCATGTTCCTGGACTGAGAAAGAAGAAGTAGCAAATGAGGACTGGAAGCTAGTTTCTATGCTCTCAGCCAAAGATTGTTCAAAGCGTGCGTGAGAATGGGACGGGTTTGATTTGTACTTGTCAAGTTAGGGGTTGATTGATAATTTATCTCGCTTTGAATATAATGTGATGAAAATATATTAATAATAATAATAATAAATTTATTTATACTGCAAAAATAGATCAGCTGAATTTTAATATAAAAACAGTTGTTATAAACCTATGTGCAGTAGGTTTAGGAAATGACAGATGATCTGTACAAAGTTAAAGAAGCCAACGAAAGAAATGTGTAACATGGGGATGGTCTTGAAATAATTACTTTTTCGTGCAAAACTTAGTAAAGCAAGAAGCTTAGAAAAGTATTCGTGTAAGAGAGCGAGACACTGCTTTGCAACCCGCTCAATCAAAACATGTTACCTTAAAAATATATATATATATCTATCTGGCCTTTTTTGTTGTAGTTAGAAAACTTCCTTGTTTTCATGTGAATTACCACGATTGCTATGTGCTGTCATGGTTGCAAAATTTGGTCAAAATTTCAGAAAAGTTAAGCTTTGTTCATACTGGTAAAATAATATTATGAGAACCTAATTCGCATTAGTTTTTGTTGTTGTTGTTATTTCTAACGATGAAGCGAACCATATCGAAATTGACTGAGGAAATCTTCTTACAAAAAACTTTGTTGGGGAGGTTATCGCGAAAAAAACTCGATGGCGAAAGGGGAGGGTATCATAAAGAGCGACGGGCAGATGATTTCTCTCTGTCACCGATCAGTTTCCAGTCCACTAAACTATCTCACGGCTGGCTGTTTATTACCCAGCAGGATGAAGTTCCGAACCTTCTTTAAATATTTCAACGTGAAGATCCTGAAGTGCTCCATGTTACACATCGACTCAGAATAACGAGTTGTTTTAAATGAGTGGGCTGACAGCCACTATTAATATTCGAGAAACGTGTCTGAATTACCTTTTATAATGTCATTAGCTTATATTGTTACTGGGAATTCATTGACCACTTGGATGTATATTGACCCTAAATTCTTCATTAAAGGAAATAATTTAGCGTGGAATGTCAATATTATATTATATTATATTACTTGTCACGACATTTGCCGATCAGTGTTTCTGGACTTGTAGGGAACCTGTCCTTCGTCAAGCGAGAGAAGTGCGATTATTTCTAAGTGTGGTTCAAGTTTTCCTTTTACAAACCAAACTTTGTCTCAGAATATTCGTGTCTTAAAAAGGTAAGTGAGAGTGGTTCGACAGGCTGGCGAAGTGGACCGGTTTGCCGATCAGCATGTTACGTACGATACGTGATTAAGTAAGTTAAGTGAGTCGATCATTCTTTATTATTGCTTCTCTGCTGTGGAGGAGGCGCGCTTAAGAGGCTTCATTAACTTGATTAGCAGATCACCCATATTTCCCGGGTGTGTTAAAGTAAATCCAAAGTGAAATGAAAGGAAAAGCATCTTAATTTATTATCCATACTCAACGTTCAGTGACCTTCGCTAATATCACGATGAAATTATTTTAAAATGGCTGTACTGAGAATTGTGTGTCTCATGCACGCATCAAGAAGAAGGTTTCGTTGCTAATTATGTCTTACTTTGTACAATATGAACCGGTCCACGTCTGAAGAGTGCTCTTGCTCAAAGATTTGTCTTTGTTTTTCATACCGTGACCTTTACTCTGCAGATCTTCACAAGTTAATCAACACACTGACAACAGTTTATATGATAAATCACGTACACTGTATTCAAAGACAAAGCACAGTGGATGTCTTTTACAATGTATTCTGACCTTTGCTCCATTCACTGCCTCAAAATTCACTATTTCAGAAATTTCTCCAAACAACAGATGTGAAATAATCTTCGTGTAAAACTCACGAAGAAACTCTTGAATTTTTACTGCATTCTTAGCGTCGCGCTCGACTGATTGCCGCCCAAGAGCTAATTACTCGGAACGTTCAGTATTCTGCATGAAAAGGAATTAATAAGAGGATAACGAGCTCTTATAGTATTATTCGGAAAAATTTATTTAAGTGTTGTATAAACGGATTGCGCTAAAACCACAGAGCATACTGTCTGTCTATGAAACTGCTTTCATGACAGTTAGTCTCGGCTCCTGGAATATCATTGGAATCTCCATATAATATTTTTATCATGAAAAATGTCTTTTTTCTTATGCTTAAAATGTAACTATTTTACACAGTTTTGTTGAGTCGGTGATGCACTGGAGTTCCATCTTTGTTCACGTTTTGCTTATTTTTTTCGCCTTATTTTCTTTTCGTTTTGTTGAGTTTTTTTTTTTTTACCTTCTTGTTCTAGTTTCAGCATGATAGCAAAGTTATTGGCGTCCACTTACACACTCTCTGGTTCCGGAAGAAGTTAGAATTTCAACTCAAATTTGAGCATAATGTAGTGGCTTGGTGCCGGTAAAAAAATTGTGCGGTGTGAAATTCTACATGCGATGCGGCTTTTGTCAGTTGTCTGTTTTTTTTAAAATTTTTTTTAAATGGCTTTATGCAAATAAAGTTTCAGTGGATCACAGACTCCTTATCTCTCTGCCAAGCAACAATCACTATCTCTATCTGTTTCTTGTTTCCTGTCGACAAAAACATTGATAACCACAAATTTGAATTTTTTCTGTTGAATCTGCCTGTTAAATTTAGCGCCAGTATTTACCTTTCTAAAGGGTTCCATCTTTAGTAAAAAGAAGATTCCTACTTATTAAAAAAGAGCGTTTTTTAAATCAGGCAGTCGAACCATGGGCTGTTAAGTCTGTCACAGCCATCACTGAGCGATTTGCGTTTAACTAATGAACGAACCGAAATAATTTCCTTCCTGAAGCGGTTTCTCTGTCAAAACAAAATAAAAGTTAATTTCAGAAAATAGCCTCACGCTGTTTTCAATTGTTCACGGGCTCATCCGATTGGTTAGTTTTTCTTTCGAAGATTTTATCTCCTTTTCCATAGCCAGAGGTTTGTTTTCATGCCGTCTGAAAGTATTTCAGATGTCGTGATCCTACAATGCGTGTGCAACTCCTGTTTTGAATGTACGCCAAACTGTACATATCTAATTGTTTTGTAGTCCCAGCCAGTGAAGCAATGCGGCGCTATCTTGGGTAAGTGATTGACCTCGGGTTTTTCAGTGCTTGCCGAGTGTGTGTCAGATCAAAATTATGCAATGCTTCCAACTTGAAAGCAATGTTAGTGCATATATTATATACTTATCAGAAGCGTTCGACGAACAAGCAACGGCAGCACATGACTGTAGTAACACCTATCACTCGTGTAGCGTGTAGCGACCAGCAAGTATAGTTATTAAACTGCACGTGTTTGATTTAATTAAACCAAACCTAGTTATTGATGATGCATTTATCAATCAGCATATCTTATTTCAAAATCGGATAAAAGCCTCTTTTCTTGATCGCGTTTTTGTTAATCCGATAGATCGTCAAGAGTTGACACTGAATTTTGTTTATTTCCAAGAAATCTGAGAGAAGTCTGACTGTTAACTGATCAAACAAAGTAGTTCCAGTTTGATGAATGAGTTCTCAAAACAATAGAACTCTTACCACGTTCATTTTGTTTCTAATCTCGATTTATCTAAAAAATTTATTTTAGTGTTATATCCAGGGAAAAAATAATTTCAAAATTTGTGGACAATCCGATGATCTAAGGAGCTATCACGTTATCTGAAATAGCCTATTGCTCAGTTCCCTAATTCTCATAGCTGATTGATAGGTAATTGTTTAATTGGATTTCAGACATTGTATGCAGCCCGCCTAGTAGAGGTAGGAACCGAAAAAAAATTAAAAACCCATCTGAAGCCATGATTGTGTTTCAAATTTACATTGTGATACAAGGAATAAAGAGTCTCAATGATAAGAACGCTTTTTTGTTCCATAGCAAACAGGTATTGCCACAAATGTTTCAAAGAAGGGAAATCTTTATAACAAGGAAACTGATCGTAGCCTTGACACACCCAGGAAAACTTTATATTAGTAAATTGAACATTTCTCTTACGAAGGGTTTGAAGGGAAATAAATCCCAATTTTTTTCAGCTTTCATACAGGAAAGCAGATTGTTAGAGGCAATTGTTGAGAGCGCACGTTGAACGTTATCATTTTCCCCTAAATTTTTTTTTCCATAAGACAGGTTTTAAAATCTCATTTTCAGAGTTAGCGGCCTGTAGGGTTCATAGTTTCAACAAAAAACGGTGATGGTACGAAATGAAGGCCTGACCTATAGAGCCAAAAAAACTTACGAACTAGTGCCGGCCTACTCAGTTTCCACTCAGCAAGTCCGCAGTGCATGTGATTGTTGCCTGGTTGGTACATGTTGATATGAATGCAAGTGATGTGGTTGTGCAAAATTTGTCTTCCTAAGGATGTCTTGTGATTCGGGCGCGATGTTTATTGATCAAAATATGTCACTCGTAATTGACATATTAACAGTTCAAGCAGAAAAACAAGTGCGATCGTCAGTTTTCAATTGCCATTATGTTCTTTAGGAAATTCGTTTACGATGAACTCGCGCTTTCTTTTTCCAGAAGCATTCTGATCCAAAACAATTTTCTCTCAACTGATAACCATAGTAAATATTGAAAATTAGCGCCGAGAATTTTGATCCCAATCTTACAATATTTTAACTTATCGGAAGTCATTCTTTTACTTCGTTAAAATAACTTTGAAAGCCTAAGAAGCTTTGCTCATCGGGGAATCTTTTTGATATGGCGAGAGGAATTTTGTCTTGGAATATCCCACAGTTTACATTAATTCTGTCAGTTTTGGACGAGTTATGCAAACATTGTTTTGTGAATGCGCCCGCAATATCTGAAGTCGAAATCAAAACATTGCATTTCGTCAGTTGCATTGCAGTTCTGCCGGTTGTTTAAGCGCTGCAGGATATTTTTACAAAATTTGCAAATTAAGACCCGCTTCACAGAGCTGTTTTTGTTTTAATGAAATTATTTTATTCATGGTTAATGTGTGAGCAGCCTTGAGGTCGGCGAATTGCGGGCGGTGAATACACGGAAAAATGGCGGAGGTAATCGAACACTTGGACTGAATAATCCGCGCAGAGTTATTAATTATTCTTCAGTCACAAGCTATCGCTAAAGTATAGATAACGTTGAATTAATGCTCACTTTGATATTTTTTGTTTTCCCGACAGAATTTCCTGAAAACAGGGTGTATTTCGATGCAAATCAACCGAGCTGAGCTTCAGAAGGTTCGAGTAAAGCTCTCCCGGGATGCTTTGACCATTCAAAAGGAAGGAACTGGCAGTGTTTCCCCTTCTTCTTCTTCTCCAGTTAACCAGCCTGAGGTGGGTTTACATAACTTGTTTGACACTTTCCTGGTGTTTTTATCGCAATTTGCTGGACATTGGACTGAATATACATTTAATTTTTAACAAGTCGTGTTCACAGAGCGTTGACAAGAATCGATTTCATTGTTCAAGGTCAAAGACTAATTGATTGCCATGCAGCACTCACGTTCACGCATTTGACTCATCATAGCTCTTTTATTTCGTGTCACTAAATACGGTAGTTTTTATTTTGTATCTGAGTTCAGCAGGATAAGAAAATATTATATTGTTTAAATGTATTCCCTGGATTCCAGGAAAGGCGCAGTATAATGTGGACACTTCTCGTTCGGTACGATGATCATTTAACGAGAAAAAAATCCCTTAAAACTTTAACAAAGCATCACTTGTGATTGCTTCCTTTATAATTTCTCGATTTGATAAATGCATTTACACAATTTTCACTTGAAAAAAGTCAAATTCTTAGACAGGTCGGGCAAAATACGAAACAGAAAGGAAAACAGTACGGGTCACCGTTTAATCATCATTGTAAGTGATACATTGCGGCAAAAGCAAGCTCTGTTTATAATTAATGGCCTTAAGAACATTATTGTTCGCTCATTATGCCCGAATAAAACTTATTAGAATTGGAACAATACGATTGCTTGTATCCGGTGGAAAAAAAGACATCAGCTTTTCTATTTTCCTTGAAGCATTTGATTGTCGGAGATAAATGCCTTCACGATATACATTAGACAGTTATGTACATTAGTCATCTGGTCTATGAATGTAAAGATATTTGAGTTAAAAATACCCGAAAGCTGTTTGTAGGTTATTATGTTTAAAAAATGAAACAGGAAGGAAAAAACAGAATAGTTTTCATGTACTATTTTGGTTTAGTAAAACACTAATTTGTGTATGAGAACTGTTACATAATTTCGAAATGCCATTGATAATAACGAAAATGCATAGTAATTATTTGATAGATGGCACTTCTACATTAGTTAAAGGAACTTTGAGGTTGAGTGTTTCAACATTGATACTCTCTTAACTCTCCATTCACTTTCTACTTAATTTATTTGTGGATTATTGATGTGTACCTTGCTTATTTATTTCAATTTGCATTAATTTGGGCATAACTTCAAGGCTGGTTTTCATCGGCAACAGAGTGGGATCTGGAGTTATGATTAAAGTTGTTGGAGCAATTTTGATTTTATCAAAATTAGAAATCAGAGTGGCAGTATCATAAGCTTGATAGCACTGGGGTGGGAAAAATCACAACTTCTCAATTTTCTTAAGATTTGGCTTATGGCTCTGACACACTCATGATCCTGGGTAAACAAGATAGTTCTATACAGGATCAAAGACCAGCAGAAGTTAATCCTACAGGCAAGGACCTGGCACTTCAATCAAGAAGATACTGTTGTCAGGGGACACTTTTTGTTGTCCCATGGGAGTCCCTAAACACAGGTCCACTGTATAACCTCTGTATCTGGGTACTGATTGAAGGGACACTCCTATTCAGGGAACACTTTTTCTAGTCAGGGTGCCCCTTAAATGTATGTACCACTAGATTTGCTGTCCAAGGTGTGTTTTTGTTAAGTAAAAGACTGCAGTCATCCTCTAGTTTCCTTACCAATACTTCTTAAAGCCATGCAGATTTACATCTGTAGTCACACACTGTCAGCTGTTTTATTTTTTTGTTTGTTTCCAGAGCACAAATGGCAAAGCTGAGTCCCCAACATGGAAGAGATCCCCATTCACTGTAAGATATTAAGCTTATCAATATCCACCAAATAATGCATGTTGAAAACTTACCGAAGAGTGTCTTTGGAAATGAGAAGAATGAAAGTTTTTTTTTTATCAAAGTAGTATGCTAAGTTGATTACAGTTCACACCCAATCAAAATGAGTGTCCAAGGGACAGTGAAATATTGGATGAGAATTTGAATGTTTGTATTTATGGAAACAAAAATTAAGAGATTGCCTGTAGGATTAAGGGTTGACACCTAATTAATTACATTTAACTGCATATGGCACCTTGTTGAGCAGAATATGAACTTGGGTCATATTTGGGTAGAATATGCGTACCCTCTCACCATTGTACTATGAAAACTGTCATGTATCTTTGTGTCTATGAGGTAAATTTCATGAATTGCATCACTTGAAACCTTTAACCAGCTGATAAGTTTTGGATTGTTTCATTGGAGATGTTTCCAATTCAGATGGATGTATTTAGGGGAGGACCATATATTAAGTAAGAATATCCATGCAAGCAAGTCTTCTTACAAGATCCACTGAAAAATACTCACCTGATCAAAAAAATTATACCCCAAAAGAGAGAACAGAAGTTTGAAATATAGCTTTGGTTTATTTTTTTTCAGAGCACAAATGGTGAAGCTTCCTCTTCTACTCAAAAGAAGCCAACACCCCCCATAGGGGTATGTTGTTCCTAAGTGTATAGTGGTAATATAAGTCAAATAAATGTTACAATAGATGAGAAAGAAGATGTAGTGTCTGATATACTTTATTGTGTTGACTGCAGATTTATACAATATAGGCAATTATAAACAGATCAGTCAGTATCAGACTTGTGGGATCATTTTTATTCCTAGGAAAGAAAAGTGAAGCTCACCAAGAGAAAAGTAGGGGGACTGGGAATGAGTATTAAGGTAAGCATTGATAGAGAAAGCTTTTGCCTCCTTGAGTCTCTTTGCCTTTTTGCTTTTTAAAGGTCAGTGTATCTCACTGTATTAAAAAATATTTTATAGGGAGGACGAGAGAGTAATCTTCCAATAGCTATCTCAAAAATATACAAAGATCAAGCAGGTATAACTATATTACTTTCTAACTTTTACTTGTCATTAATACCCTGGAAATTTGTGTAGTATTTTTTTTGTTTAAATCAATTTTTCTTTTGCTGTCTTAGCTTATGAAACAGGTCAACTTCATGAAGGTGATATTATACTTGAGGTCAGTATAGCTAGAGGATGATTTTTTCACAGGCCTTTTCAGGCTTGAGTTACCTCAGAAAAACTTTCTTAATTGGTATATTAACGTCTGACCCTTTGATCTCCGTCACGCTACCTTTGATGTGTATTCAATGTCAAATTCATAAGCTGTTATGTACTCTCCCTACAAAATATCTACTCAGCTAATTATTATGTTTTTTTTTTTAGGTTAATGGACAAGACATAAGAAGAGCCACACATGACGAGGCAGTAAGTTGAACCAGTTCAGGCCCTCATGTTTGGTTTGTTTTACCCTGGATGTGTTCGCATGGTTCCCAAAGTGTTAAGTTTTTATAAATTTCCTTTTTTCTAGGTAGCTGTGCTTAAAAAGGGAGGTTCAGAGATTGAACTAACTGTCATTCACTCTTCTTCCCATTCATCAGGTATTCATGATAATGCAGGCAAAGATTAGTTATATGTTTAATATTTATTGCGTGGAAAGAGAAAATAAGAAATGACTTGTGGTGGGAAAGCCTGGGTTTCAAACACGTTGGCCAGAACTATCCCTGTTAATAGGGTTTTTGATAGGTTTGCACAGTCCTCTGTTGCGCAGTTTCTGTTGTATTGTTCAGTTCTGTGGTACAATTGTGTCTCCACATCAACCTAATGCTTCATTCATTTTTAGTTAATGACAGTGAAATGACAGCAGGAACAACTTCTGAAGTGAGTCAGTCCAGTGTATCAAAACAAGGTATGTTATACTATGAAGACATTCAGTGGTTTTCCCAGTTCAGTGTTGTTAGCCTGTACTTTTTTTTTGTTCTCCTCTTACTTTGCTCTCTTCTCTTGCACTACATTTCTAAATGAAATCCCTGCCAAGCTACATTGACAATAGAAATTATTAGAGGTCAAAAAAGTTTCTTTGATACCTGTGGGTTCATATTAAGTTATTTTAAATTTGGTGATTTCATAACACTTTTGTGGAAAATCCAGTATATTTCTAATGATACACATAGTAAGGGTTGATTGATTTTTTTTTTCCTTTCAAAGCAAATGGAATTGTTAGAAGTGTTGAAGAGTCATCAAGTGATGCTGAATGTAGAGAGAACAGCAGTCAAAAGGTACATTTTGTTACAAGTCATATCTCAGAAATATAGTAAATCCTTTTTGTTGTATTAACTTTCCAGTTTTAATTTTGTGCATTGACTTTTTTATTTGCAGTCGTCTGAAGTTGGAGAAACAGATTCTAACTCATCTCTTCAGAGCTGGACAGATAACATTGTTCTTCCTCTGACATTTGCTTCAGTGTCAAGATACAAGTCAGGGGAAGACACATTAAGGTATATGTTCAAAGTTTAAATGTAAAACACTGTGTTTGATCAAGACTGTACTGCCAAGCATTTCCTGTTGAGAGAATTGATCTTGTTAGTTTGCCTTAGCAGTGGTACGTGGAAGGAGAGGCTCCTTGTAAATTAACAGCCATAACTACAGTTCACATTTAAAAGTGGATATCTTTGAGTCCAAGTGGCACCTAACTGGTGGAACTTGTTATGTTTCCTGTACCACAAAACAGCCAGGAATATTCTCACTCTCCTTAGATGGGAGGCTAGGTCCCCCCCACATCCCCCTCCCAGAATTTTGTTGGGATCACTTAACAGTTTACTGTTACTCATTCATACTCTTGGGTGGAGAGAGCACTGTGAAAATAAAGTATTTCAGCCCTGAATACAATGCAATGACCCAGTCAGGTTTTAAACTCAGATTTCTTATTGCAGAGATGACTACCCTAATCACTTAGCCAACATGTTTCTAATGTCTTTTAATAACTATTTCTTTGGTGTATTGTGACAGGAGCAATGCATTTGAAGTCAGCTCAATGGATGGTGGTGCTTCAGTTGTGCTTTACAGTGAGAATAAAGTGGAACTGTTGTCTTGGTACTCAGCAATCAAAGACAGAGTGGTTCTGTTGTTGGAACAAGCTGTAAGTTTTCTGCCATCAGTTGTTAACTTATAGAACACAAGGGCTGCATATGATAGGTGCTGCATAATCATTATTGAAACATATGGAAATGTACTTTCCTTTCATCCTTTGGAATCTCTGGAGGTTTGAATGTGATGTCAGTTATTTCACTGGCAATATAATTTGGAGCCTTTTTGTCCCCACTTACATATGACTTTTTTATTAAACGAAGATTTTATTTAACATTATGTACTGAGTGTCTGGATGAAAGATCTAGAAAGACAATATTTTAAGTGTGAAAAATCATGACAAAGAGCCAAATTTTCTAGACCAGGCCCACATTAAATCCTTGTAAAGGTTTTATAATATATCAGCCAATATTTCTTTCCCCTTTTATTACTCAAACTTGTGTCATAGAGGGCTGTACATGTGGCCTGTTTTTTTTTCCTGCCTTGCTTCACGTCATGTATGTCCCTCATATGATTATGTGATGAGACAATCAATTGTTGAATTTGTTTCCTCTTTTGTTTTTCAGATGAACTTGTCCAGTGCATCTTTACCATCCTCTGAGCAAGTAAGACAATCTTAACAGTTACCACATTTTGACATTTAACAACATCGAACATTTAACCAAGTGGATATCAAAATTTTCACTACATCACCACCATTTCTTATATATATATATTAAATCAGATCCATAGCAGAGATTTGTGGGAAATGTAGAGCCCAATGTTTAGAGTTCTGAGCTGCAGGTTAAGAGGTTCAGTTAAGAGACCTGTCAGCAGGGCCATTGTGTTGTGTTCTTATGCCAAAAAACCTAACTCTCACAGTGCCTCTCTCCACTGGGGAGGGGGGGGGGGAGAACCCTTGGTTGTTCACAAAATTGCATCCAGGGAAGAGTATCATTACTACTAGTTACTTTTTGCTCTGGAAACAATGAAAAGCTCCAGCAATCTGTGCTTCTTGGCTCGATTGCTAACCTCACATTCCCACCTGTACTGGAGATTCAAATGAACATGTTGTCTGAGGCGATTGAATCTTGTTTTAGTATTGAGTTTGATTTTATTTTTGATATAGGTGATACACATGGGTTGGATATGGGAAAGACTTAGGTCTACAAATCACTGGAATGTCTGGAAAAGAAAGTTTTTAACAGTTAAAGGCTCTGAACTACAAATATTTGAAATGCCACCAGTAAGTACATAATGCACTAACTTTTAAAACAATTAATACATATTGATTACTTAAAGATACTTTTTGATAATAAGGATTTTATTTTACACACAGAGTATGGAAAGTATGATCTCAGTTTAAGGAGGGGACTTGATTGAATTAGTTGCTTTGGTCCCTGAATGAATTGTCAGAACCAACATCAGGAATGTCAGTTGAAGAAACATCCATTTTTTAATATTTGTTAAATTTAATTTTTCTGGAAGGTGGAAACTTTTGAGTTCCCACCTTATCTGAGCTTCCATGATCCTTTACACCACAGGTTGCCACAAGAGACTGGCTCAAAAGTGAAGTGTCCTACAACTTAATGGAAATAGTTTGTCATACATGTAAGGTATGGGAACTTAGAAATAACACCAAAATCGTTAGGTCTTTTTTTATTCTCAACTGATTTTTTTATCTATCAAATTTATTTGAAAATTGAGCTTGTTTGGATTTTAGGAAGATGAACAAGTGGACAAGAGAGATAACTGTTTTACTGTCCAGTCCTGTTCTGGTGGCAGTCACTATCTTGCAGTTGGTGAGTTCACTATCTTAATCAAATATTTAACTCTTTCTCTTTCAAGGGAAGAAAATCATCAAACTTTGATTGAATAAACAAAGATTGGTGTAGTTGGAGTAGACATCAGTGTCCTTAAGGAAACCATGTATTTTGAAGGAGGTTTACCTTCTAGTTTAAAAAGTATTGGTGACTGGAACAAACTATGAGCTGATTTGAAGAATGGTAAAATGGACAATCTTTAGAATTCTAACCTGCAGAACTTCAATCATGACTGTTTCCTTAAAACACATAAAACCATGAACACTTGAAATAGGTTTGGAGTGTGATTAAGTTGCAGAAAAAAAATAGCCAATCAGGTGTGAGAAATATTAGATGTACATCTCAAAGCCAATTCATGTATGATTTTGTGGTGTGCTCACATATAATTTGTCCTGAGATGATGAACATTCTGGCCTTGTAGGTGTTAATGGTTTTCTGAGTTTCTGATCAGCATACAACTCTTGGAAATTTAGCTAGTGTTGAGCAGATGGGAAGAGGTTGCCCAGTATCCACAGTCAGGGGCTCATCTTAGAAATGTGTTACCTTGTGTTTTATTGTTAGTACAAATCCTTTAATATTGTTGTTATAACACTTATCATCATTTTTATTTTGTGGTTGTATTGTCCTTACATTTACTACAGACACAGAAGCAGATTTGACAGAGATTGTCAACCGAGTGCAGGAGGCCACTCATCAGGCTGTTGTACAAATTGAGGTTTGATAGATTTTACACATTTCAATTAAGTATTAAGTAGTTCAATTCCATTTGAATTAAGTTTTTGCTCTGTTTGTATGACTCTGCTTTGTTGAAGTAAGTCTGGCTTCATTGAGTTATTGTTATTTTCAGTCACGATCATTTCCAGGAAAGTGGCGTGGACAGAGTGTGAAGCTTGTGTTGGACCTGAAAAGAGGACTGCGACTATACAGTGGAACAGATCGGGTTAGTGCCTATTTCTGAGAACACTTTAAGAAACAGGGTAGCAATAAAAGTTATTTGTGTATCCTGACTTACAGAGCTTTTATTTCATATTCTTTTTTCCAGTCTCTTCTGTGGCAGTATCGGTTCTCATTTCTCCGTGGTTCTTCAGATGATGGATCTCGTAAGATTGTTTTGTTGTTTTCTCAGTCACCAGCTGGTCCCTTTGATCGACAGGTGAGTCACTCAGTTCATAATGGCCTCTTTACTTAAAACTTCCATGAGCTGGTTACCAGAAATTACATATACATTGTGAACACTATAGAATTATGAATGGAAAGCAATTTTGTTTCAAGGAGAAAGTAAATTAAGAGTCAGAAATCTAAACTGCAAACAGCAACAGTAGAATAGAAGAGAACTTTTTGTTTAATCAGTACATAATTGACCTTTCAGAAACATTTTAAGGTGTTCACAGATATTTAGTTTCACATTAACTTTGCATCTGAGACACCTTAAGTGTAAAAAAAATTGGAATGTAGGTGTTTTCTGGTGCTACCACAGATGAATAATAAGAATATGTGTATTTTAGCTTTTAAAATAGAAATTGTTAAATTTTAAATAATTATGATTATGTTTTTAGTGTGTCCTTTCATCTTTGGTTTTCTTAAATTTCTATAAAAAAAAAACTATTATGATTTTTTTAAGATTTTGGTTAACCAAAAGTTTACTTCTTATTTTGTTTCAGGAATTAGAGTTCACTAATATGCAACAGGTTTTGACAGTGATGCACGCATTCTACGCTGCAAAAGTTGCACAAGTTGATCCAAACTTCTCTTTTGACAACAGTTTTTGAGTAACATACTCTCCAGAGATGGATTTCAACAAATCACACTTCAATATTGATGACAAGAGCTGACTCTTTTTCTCACATATCATCACTTGGAAAAGGATCAAGACATAGGATTTGATGTTGCATTTAATAATTATTTTGATAACATAGCTAGTAAATTTGTTTATCAAATTCAATTATGCGAGTGTGCTTCATATTCCTATTGTGCATGCTTATGACGTCAGCAAACATATCCCTTGAGAAAAAAATTTTCCATCGGGTTGAAAATGTTATAAAACAATTGGTTTATACGTCAGCTGTGCATTCATCGAGATATGAAGCACTTGGGAAGTTTAGAGAGCACTCAAGAAGCTAGAGTTGCTCTCGGCTTTGCTTCAAGCAACTCTTATGCATCTTTTGTGCTCTCCAAACTTTCTGTGTGCTTCATATCGTGATGAATGCACGCTGACATATGAACCAATTGTTAATTATGAGTATAGAAACTTGAGCTTCCTTTCTTTTGGACCAGGTAGACAAATGTGTGCTGTACCTTGCTGCTGTATGAATGTCCATGCAACGAAACTCTCTGCAAACCCCCTAATAAAAGATGCTTATGTAGCTTTAATTATTTTTTTAAGCCAGGAAGGCAAATTGACTTGCCAAACTTTTTTTATTTATTTTAGATGAACTTAAACCCTGTGGATTGATAATCCCAATTTTTTTGTTCTTGTTATGATTATTATGTTATGTTTAGGAGCCTTTACAGTAAGTAATTAAGAATCAGTCAGGCAAAAAGTCCAAGGTGATAAGATCACTCTGTATTTTTCTCAAATTAAATGTTCATTTTTACAAGAAGATTACCTAAAACAAAGACAACTCTGTTTAGGGAAGTTACTTGGATTGCATACAAAGCAGTTAGAATCAAATCAATTTGAATTAGTTCAAGGGGAACACGAAGAGAGTAAATAAATGACAAACATGTTACTTTACCAGCAAGTTTGGAATTATTGGACCCAAAGAGATAAAGTAGTATTAATGACGATACAGTAAATTACAATAAAGACTTAATAACTCTCTCAGAGGGGAGACATTCAATTTACTATTTGGTATCTTATAGTATCAAACAGAATTGGGAGACTGTTTGATAATTTACGAGCAATATCCTCTTGACTAAATAGAAGTTCCAGGCAGGTGTTTTCTGCTCTGATGTTGAATTTAGCGTTTTAGCAAATGATTGAGCAGTTACTGTCCAATATTAAAATGTCATAGGTTTATTGTTGTGTAATAACAATAAACATTCCAGTGAACAGTATTTACTAGGAATTTATTTCAAAATTTATGTAAATAAATATATCAAATACATTAAAGTATGTTTTTCATAAAACAATTATTTGGAGCAAATAGTATTGAATTCTTGACTCCTTTAACGGTTGTGACTGATAAATTTACTCCTGAAGACAGAAAAAATCCCTGCCCCTACCTCCTTTCCTTTTCAAGTTAAATTAAATGAAAGAAGTTATGGGAATATTCCTTGACCAAAGAAACAGAATCCCAGAGCAATCTAGATCTTTGCGCAAGAAAGCTTTTGAATGATTTCCTAGCTTTTTAGTTAAAGAAATTCTGTTGTTTTAATATTAAGAAAGGATTTTCTGGGCCCACAGAAGAGGAGTGGATTTGAAACGTAAACACCTTGCACAGGCAATCACCTGCTTTGTAGCACACGAATAATCATTCCTATATTCCTTTTTAAGGAGAGAGGAGTTTACGAATATTGAAGGCATCTTATCAGGTACACGACCTAAACCAAGTTGTCTAGCTCATTGACAAAATTCTGTTGTTTCAATATTCAGAGGGGATTTTCTCAGCCCACAGAAGAGGTGTGGCTTTCAAAGTTACACATAATGCACAGCTAACCAAGCTCTTCCTAACACACAAATCATCACTTCTTCATTCCTTTTTAATGCGTAGATATCCGTGTATGAATATTTCAACAAAAGAATTTCGTTAATGAGCCTTTGGCATCTTGTCAAGTCCACGACCTAAACCGATTCTTCCAGCTCATTAACAAAATTATATTGTTTCAATGTTCAGAGGGGATTTTCTCGGCTCCCGGAACAGGTATGGCTTTAATTTTGCACACAATGCACAACCAATCACGTGCTTTCTAACACAAATAACTATTCCTAAATCCTTGCAGTTGCTAAGATAACAGTGTGTGAATATTGAAACAAAAGAATTTTGTTGATGAACTTCTGACATCTTATTAAGTCCAGGACCTTAACCAATTTTTCAACCTCCTTAATAAAAATCTGTTGTCTAAATTCTCAGAGGGGATTTCCTTGACCCAAGAAATAGGTGTGGCTTTGAATTTTGCACACAATACACAACCAATCACGTGCTTTCTAACACATTAATAATTATTCCTAAATCCCTGAAGTTGCTGAGGAATCAGTGTATGAATATCGAAACAAAAGAATTTTGTTAATGAACTTCTAGCATCTTGTCGGGTCCACGACTCAAACCGATTTTTTAAGCTCATTAACAAACTCTTTTGTTTTAATATTTAAAGAGGATTTTCTTAGCGCACGGAGGAGATGTGGCTTTGAAACGTACACACAATTCACAGCTAATCACGCTCTTTCTAACACGTTAATAATTATTGTTTCATTCCTTTTATTGCGGAGTTATAAGCGTAAAATATTTCAAGGAAAGAATTTCGTTAATGAGCTTTTGGCATCTTATCAGGTCCACGACATTAACCGAGTATCCTGACAGAACTCTATTGTCTCAATATTTAGAGGGGATTCTCTTGGCCCCCGGGAAAGGTATGGCTTTAAATTTAGTACACAATACACAACCAATCACGTTTTCCAATACATAAAAAATCGTTCCTTTAATCCCAAAGGTTGCTGAGATATCAGTGTATGAATACTGAAATAAACGAATTTTGTTAATGAGCTTTTGGCGTCTTATCAGGTCCAGGACATAAACCAATTTTTCAAGCTCATTAACTAAAGTCTATTCTCTTAATATTCAGAGGGGATTTTCTCGGCCCACAAAAGAGGTGTGGCTTTGAGACTTACATAAAAAGCACAGCTAATCACTTGATTCCTAATACATGAAAAAAATCATTGTTTCGTTCCTTTTTATTGGGAAGATATAAGGGGGGCGAATATTGAAACAAAATAATTTTGTTAATGAGTCTCTTGCATCTTGTCAGGTCCATGACTCAAACCGATACTTCTAGCTCATTAACAAACTTCTACTGTTTCAATATTCAGAGAGGATTTTCTCGGCGCACGGAGGAGGTGTGGCTTTCAAATGTTCACACCATTCACAACTAATCACGCTTTTCCTAACACGTTATTAATTAATCTTTCATTCCTTTTTATTGCGGAGTTATAGGCGTATAAATATTAAAGCAAAAGAGTTTCGTTAATAAGCTTTTGGCATCTTATCAGGTCCACGACCTAAACCAATTTTTGGACCTCGGTTACAAAATTCTATTGTTTCAATATTCAGAGGAGATTTTCTCGGCCCCATGAATAAGTGTGGCTTTAAATTTAGCACACAATACACAACCAATCACGTGCTTTCTAACACATCAATTATTATTCCTACATCCCTGCAGTTGAAGAGATATCAGTGTATGAATATTGATACAAAAGAATTTTGCTAATGAGCTTCTGGCATTTTATCAGGTCCACGACCTAAACCGAGTTTTCTAGCTTATTAACAAAATTATATTGTTTCAATATTCAGAGGGGATTTTCTCGGCCCCTGGAATAGGTGTGACTTTAAATTTTGTACACAATACACAACCAATCATGTGCTTTCTAACCCATAAATTATTATTCCTACATCCCTGCAGTTGCTGAGATATCAGTGTATGAATATTGAAACAAAAGAACTTTTTCAATGAGTTTCTGGCATTTAATCAGATCTACGACCTAAACTAAACTATTGTTTTAATATTCAAAGGGAATTTTTTGGCCCCTGGAACAGGTTTGGCTTTGAAATTTTCACACAATGTACAACCAATCACGTGCTTTCTAACAAATAAATAATCGTTTCTTTAATCCCCTATGGTTGCTGATATATCAGCGTATGAATATTGAAACGAAAGAATTTTGTTAATGAGCCTCTGGCAATATTATCAGGTCCACGACCTAAAGCAATTCTTCAAGCTCATTAAAAAAAGTCTATTGTCTTAATATTCAGAGGGGATTTTCTCGGCCTACAGAGGAGGTGTGGCTTTGATACTTACACACAAAATACAGGTAATCACGTGCTTCCTAATACATGAAAAATCATTGTTTTGTTGCATTTTATCGTGGAGATAAAAGTAGGTGAATATTGAAACAAAAGAATTTTGTTAATGAGCTTCTTGTATCATGTCGGGTCCACGACTCAAACCGATATTTCTAGCTCATTAACAAAATTCTATTGTTTCAATATTCAAAGGGGATTTTATCGCCCGCGGAATAGGTGTGGCTTTGAATTTGGCACACAATACACAACCAGTCACGTGCTTTCTAACACATCAATCATTATTCCCACATCCCTGCAGTTGCTGAGATATCAGTGTATGAATATTGAAACAAAAGAATTTTGTAAATGAGCTTCTGGAATTTTATCAGGTCCACGACCTAAACCGAGTTTTCTAGCTCATTAACAAAATTCTATTGTTTCAATATTCAGAGGGGATTTTCTTGGCCCCCGGAAAAGGTGTGGCTTTGAATTTAGCACACAATACACAACCAATCACGTGCTTTCTAACACATAGATAACTGTTCCTCTAATTCCTACGGTTGCTGAGATATCAGTGTATGAATATTGAAACAAAAGAATTTTGTTAATGAGTTTCTGGCCTCTTGTCGGGTCCACGGCTCAAACCGATTTTTCAAGCTCATTAACAAAACTCTTTTGTTTCAATATTCAGAGGGGATTTTCTCGGCCCCTGGAATAGGTGTGGATTTAAATTTTGCACACAGTACACAACAAATCACGTGCTTTCTAACACGTAAACCATTATTCCTACATCCCTGCAGTTGCTGAGATATCAGTCTAGGAATATTGAAACAAAAGAATTTTTTTAACGACCTTCTGGCATTTAATCAGGTCTACTACCTAAACCGAGTTTTCTAGTTCATCAACAAAATTCTATTGTTTTAATATTCAAAGGGGATTTTCTTGGCCCCTGGAAGAGGTGTGGCTTTGAAATTTGCACACAATGCACAACCAATCACGTATCATCTAACAAATAATTAATCGTTTCTTTAATCCCTACGGTTGCTGATATATCAGTGTATGAATATTGAAACAAAAGAACTTTGTCAATGAGCCTCTGGCATATTATCATGTCCACGACCTAAAGCAATTTTTCAAGCTCATTAACAAAATTCCATTGTTTCAATATTCAGAGAGGATTTTCTCGGCCAGCGGAATCAGTTTAGCTTTGGAAGTTACACGCAATGCACAGCTAATCACGCTCTTTCTGACACCATATTAATTGATCTTTGCTTCTTTTTATTGCGGAGTTGTAAGCGTTTAAATATTTAAAGAGAAGGATTTCGTTAATAAGCTTTTGGCATCCTATCATGTCCGCGGCCTAATCAATTTTTCAACCTCATTAACAAAAATCTTTTGTCTTTATATTCAGAGGGGATTTTCTCGGCCCCCCAGAATGGGTGTGGCTTTGAATTTTGCACACAATACACAACCAATCATTTACTTTCTAATGCATTAATAATCATTTCTTCATTCCTTATTAATGCAGAGATATCATCGATGAACATTGAAACAAAAGAATTTTGTTAATGAGCCCTTGGCGTCATGTCAAGTCCACGACCTAAACTGGGTTTTCTAGCCCATTAACAAAATTCTATTGTTTTAATATTCAGAGGGGATCTTCTTAGCCCACGGAATAGGTGTGGCTTTAAATTTATCACACAATACACGACCAATCACGTGCTTTCTAACACATAAATCATTATTACTACATCCCTGCAGTTGCTGAGATATCAGTGTATGAATATTGAAACAAAAAAATTTTGTTAATGAGCTTCTGGCATTTTATCAGGTCCACGACCTAAACCTATTTTTCTAGCTCATTAACAAAATTCTATTGTTTCAATATTCAGAGGGGATTTTCTTGGTCCCCGGAATAGGTGTGGCTTTGAATTTGAATGAATGAATGGCACACAATACATAACCAATCACTTGTTTTTTAACACATAGATAACTGTTCCTCTAATCCCTACGGTTGCTGCGATATCAGTGTATGAATATTGAAACAAAAGAATTTTGTTAATGAGTTTCTGGCCTCTTGTCGGGTCCACGACTCAAACCGATTTTTCAAGCTCATTAACAAAACTCTTTTGTTTTAATGTTCAAAGAGGATTTTCTAGGCGCACGGAGGAGATGTGACTTTGAAACGTACACACAATTTACAGCTTATCACGCTCTTTCTCACACGTTAATAATTATTCTTTCATACTTTTTTATTGGGGAGATATAAGCGGGTGAATATTGAAACAAGAGAATTTTGTTAATGAGCTTCTTGTATCTTGTCAGGTCCACGACTCAAACCAATATTTCTAGCTCATTCTAATCTAACAAAATTGTATTGTTTCAATATTCAGAGAGGATTTTCTCAGCGCACGGAGGAGGAGGTGCTTTCAAATGTACATACCATTCACAGCTAATCACGCTCTTTCTAACACGGTATTAATTGATCTTTTATTCATTTTTATTGCTGAGTTATAAGCGTATAAATATTTAATCAAAAGAATTTCGTTAATGAGCTTTGGCTTCTTATCAGGTCAACGACCTAAACCAATTTTTTAACCTCATAAGAAAAAATTTTTTGTTTCAATATTCAGAGGAGATTTTCTTGGCCCCCTGGAATAGGTGTAGCTTTGAATTTTTCACACAATACACAACCAATCACGTGCTTTCTAACACGTTAATAATCATTTCTTAATTCCTATTTAATGCGGAGATATCAGTGTATGAATATTGAAACAAAAGAATTTTGTTAATGAGCTTCTGGCATTTTATCAGGTCCACGACCTAAACCGAGTTTTCTAGCTCATTAGCAAAATTCGATTGTTTCAATATTCAGAGGGAATTTTCTCGGCCTCTGGAATAGGTGTGGCCTTTAATTTTGCACACAATACACAACCAGTCACGTGCTTTCTAATACGTTAATAATTGTTCTTTTAACTCCTACGGTTGTTGAGATATCAGTGTATGAATATTGAAACAAAAGAATTTTCAGGTCCAGGACTTAAACCAATTTTTCAAGCTCATTAACAAAAGTCTATTGTCTCAATATTGAGAGGGGATTTTCTCGGCCTACAGAAGAGGTGTGGCTTTGAAACTTATACACAAAGCAGAGTTAATTACGTGCTTCTTAACACGTGAAAAATCACATTTTTGTTCTTTTTATTTGGAAGACATAAACTGGTGATTATTGAAAAAGAGAATTTTGTTCATGAGCTTTTGACTTCTTTTCAGGTCCACCACCTAAACTGAGTTTTCTACCTCATTAACAAAATTCCATTGTGTTAATATTCAGAGAGGATTTTCTTGGCCTACAGAAGAGGTGTAGCTTTGAAACTTACCCACAATGCACAGCTAATCACGCTTTGAAAATTACTCCTCAAATCCTTTGAATTGCTTAGATATGTTTGGGGGATTTTCTCGGCCCACAGAATAGGTATGACTTCGAAACTTGCACACAATTGATACAGGAAGTTGGAAGTTTCTCTGTTTGGTGGATGTCTTGAATGTTTCACAAATGAGCAATGATGGAGGGTGAAATCACACTCTTGTCATATTGGGATACTAGGCTTAAATACAACATGAGTCACTAACAAAATACTATAGGCTATGTCTTTTTTTTGTGATTTTAATATTAAATTCTTTACGATGGATCTGGTCATTCAGAGGAATTCTACACAATTTCATAAAAAGGCTACAGTACCTACATGCCTTGAGCAATGCCTATCTTCTTAAATCTGCTGATTCATATCAAATTCCATGGTAAACTATTCTGCATCACACCTAAGTCTAATGACATGCAATTCACAATTGAATTGTCTGACAACTTCTTTAAGAGTTGTTACCAAACTATTGCCCTTTTTTAAATTTATATCAAGAATTTACAATTCTCTTCCTATAAATTAAAAATTTGGACCTACTAAATTATTTCACACCTACTTTGATGATAGAATGCAGTATTTGATGTCACTCAATACCTTCTTTCCAATAATTTCCCCCTTCCTTTGCCTGAGTTTTTACAAGCAACATAGAGGAAATGGCAAATACTATTACATACCCTGCACACAAAATTGCAAACAATAAATAGTTTACTAATATAAAACAATTTTAAACTTGCCTCCAGTCAATATGTGCCTAACCTATACCTGAATTATACTCAATGTCATGATAATTACCTCAACCATTTAACTCCAGAGATCTGATTGTTAATTTACCCCACTAGCTGCTGCACATTTCTTGTAAATTAGTTATAAAAATTTGGTGTTAGATCTGAATATTCTCATTACCAGTTTGAAGGATAATGGATGGATATTATAGGGAGACGTTACATGTTTATTACTTCTAAGTCTATACCCTCGCCCTTATTGAAGGATTTATGCTCCAGAATCCAAGTCATTTTCATCTCACCTCTTAAAAAGTATTTATGGAACTAATCCACTGATTTTATGTTTAGATTCCAACTGACCTGAGCCAACCATTCAAAAATTTCCTCAAATGTTCTAAAAATCCAAGTATAATGCTTGCCACTTTGAATATTTCTTGGCACAAGTAACACAATGCATTTCTTTAGGATCTACTTGAACAAGAAAAAGCTACACAAAGTGGCATTCACACTCAAATAGTGATTTTCCTGTAAAAATCAGCACAAGGACTTAAGCTGAATCCTTTATGTAGGCCCACCTTACAGAGGCAGAGTTCAAAGTCAGACTTTCAGCACATATAAAGGTAGTTTTGAACTTGTAAAGTTACTATTTTGAATTTCAATATCCATTTAGTGGTAAATAATTATATCAAATTCTTAATGGCCGCGACTGAAATTGTATGACCTCTGGAACTTACTTCTGTTTAAACTGCAGGTCAGTGAGAAAAAGAACCAAAATTTCACAGAAAATATCTCATGTCCTTATTACTGTTTGAGGATTACAAGTCAAATAGTCTAATCAAAATGAAATCATTGTTACTGTAACAGAAATGCTACCTCCGCTTAATGCTGGTTGCCGCTCTGCTCCTAAAAGGAAAATTGAGAATTTAAATAAATAATACAAGCTCTGAAATCTAAGACACAAGCTCATTACAATCTAATTCTTGAATGTCAAATCTGAAAAAGGCTGGGCACTGCAACACTCCCCCAATACCCCAAAAATACACAATATCCTGTCTCCATCCACCCCTCCCAGGGTACACAATTTGTGATCAGATCCTTATGGAAAATTCATGAGGACGAGTGTCATAGGAATACTAGCACTTCGAGGTCTACAATGAAATAATCATTGTTGTGATCATGGTATAACATAGATTGTCTCACAAGATCAAAAGATGGTCTCTTAGGCTTTTTTTTTTTACACCTGTAGGTCTAAATCAGAAGCATGATGTCTCCACAAATTGACTAACCTCTGGTTTTTGAAGAGTTTCATTGTCTTTTTCATCATCGGTGCTGGTACTAAAAGTGAACATTCACAATAAAATTATTTAACATACATGTACATGTAATAACTGCCAAAATGGTGTGACTAAAATCATGTAATTTAATTTGTTGATTAATAATGATTTTATTTCAAATATTTAGTGGAATTCAGTTAATATGATACTGTCATTACAGATACATACATGCATGCTTTTTGGTTGGTGAAGCACTGTGGTTCCTTTGGTGTCCCTGTGGAGCCCTTGCTATGGGAGGGGCCATATGTTTTCCAGCATGATTTCTGGAGCCAGTCCCAAATCTAGCCTGCTTTCTTAGCACCTCCCGAGGAGGTTTGGCTTCTGATTCAACATAGGCAAGTTTGATCTGCCGTTCTGCAAAGAAGGATAAATTTTTTGGTGCAAACCTGAGAGATTAGTATGGCAAACTTCACCCTTTAAAAGCCAAAGGAAAGGAAATTGGTCCTTGTTACTAACTGTATAAAGTAAGTAGTAAATAGTATATAAAGCATTGTAGTCACACAGCTGCAACCGCTGAGGTTTCTACTCTAATGTCTTTGTAAAACTCGTGGCTAACATAAACTATAAGACAACCAAAACAACTTCTCAACAGGACAAGAAATCAACAAATTGCACCAGACATCTGATCCCCAAATCAATTTACAGATTTGGGTGATTCATTATGTAACCAGCACTTTAACTTTGATCTTTGTCATAATCATAAACAAAGTTTTACATCTTTCTCTGTTAAGTCCTTATGTTACTATACAGCTAACATTTCCACCTACCAGGTGTTTTTGCTGCTTGATTGGCACTTATTTTTGCATGTATTTTTTTTAGCCTCACTTCTCTTTCACTTTCATTTTGCTTGTAGGAGAGACAAAATTTGACATAGACCTTCAGTTGACACTGTTCTATTATGTGCACACAGTTTGACTAGGATTCAGCAGTCAGAGGAGAGTCAGGAAAACAGTGTTACCATTAATTGTCTGTTTGAAGGCATGCACTGATGCAGGAATAGAAGGGGCAAGGGCATGAGAGATGTTTTTTAAAGGGGTTTGATATTACTGCCAAGGCATGGTGTCACTGTTCAGGTGGTAGCATTAATGATGGCTAACTCATAGGCTGGTGTCACCATGGAGATGAAACCAGTGTAGAAATGAGACACTGTAACTGTTTGGTTTGTAGCTACTATAATGTAACAGCACAATACTCACCATGTACAGTTCTCTCCAGCTCTGCCCTGATTTTGGTTTTGTTCCTTTGAATTCTCTGCAGCAGTGCCTCTCCCAAAGTGGGTCAGTATCATCAATGAAGTACTGCAGAAAAAAAAAATTGACTCTCAAATGTCAGGTATAAGTCTCACTACTATGGTGTAACTCACCTTCATTTCCCTCTTCCAAGATGTTCACTTGTACCTGGTTGACTCACATACAGCATACAAATATATTCAAAGCAAGAGGAAAATTATTAATCAAGCAGGACAAAAATAATCAACTAAATTCAATGAGCTGCAGATTCAGCTAATTAGGAGTAACTCTTGTCTACTTTTAGCTATTAAGGGAAATTTGTAATGAACAACCTTCTTCAAGATGTCTCATTAATATTTATTACCCAGCTGACACAACAAACTACAAAATATTTCCACTTACTGGGTTGCATTCTTCCAAATGCAAGAGTTGCTGTGGAGAACACCTTAAAAAATACACCACAAAACAGTAAATGATTGGCACCCAGGACAGTCAGTTCATTGTATAGTGTGATCATCATGGTGAGAATAGGCCTGCGAAGGACTGTTTTCAATAACAGTGACAGACATTTTGACAACCACAGCAGGTGATGTCATCAGAGTCAAGTGTGGAGATTTTGTCATTTGAGTGTTTAACCAACAAACCAAACAGAACAAAACTACTTTATTGACAGATTGAAGCTGACTAATCAAACTGATTTTTTCTACTCAAGCTAATTATATCATGGCAAACTTCATCGATCAGTTTTCATAAACTAAGCATATACCACACAAATGAAATTCGACTGCTCCTTTAATAGTAAAGATGACTTGAATTCATTTTGTCCTTGGCATCAATACAATCAAATCACACATCAATAATATCAACATATTTAGCCTTTGATTATCTCATAAAATTTAAAAGTAAACATCAAGAATTATAATAAGAAATGTTTCAAATTGAGGTGTTATAGTTCAATAATCCTTTATCAATTTTAAAATAATTAATCATCATACTTGATAACTACACAGGCCACATACATACTTTGGTGACCTACATACAAACTGTCTAACCATTATTTATAATTATGCAGTTCTTCTGATAAATATGTTGAAGACTTAAAAATACTTGATGTGTGCATTGTATTAGATTGCTAGATTGAACAAAAAAAACCTTACCTTTCGAGAACAGGGTGAAGAATATTATAAGGAACTCCACCAGTTTCACTGAGAGCTGGAGTAAATATGGAAAAACACAAATGATGATAACATTTCATTTCTGCAGCTGCCATGAAAGATACAGATAGGTATACAGAAAAATATAGTTATATTCTGGTGGCCACAATCTATCCCTTCTTTGGGATGAAGTACGACAGAGATCAAAGAAAGAACAAATTCATTTTTGTGCAAATAAACACTGAAAGCCTTGTAAAAATTTGTTATCATTTGTAATTGATATATGGCGCAAATAAATCAGGAATGAGAATACATACCATCAATGTTCTCAATCAAGCTCTTTATTGACAACTCAAACAGAGATGACACATCTGTGAGATGAAACAAAAACTCACTAGCATTCGAATCATTTTAAGAAGCCTAATTTGCTCAGAATTAAAAATCTGCTCAAAGTAGAATATTGCTTACAGTAGTTACTTCATATGCTATGTACTGTTTAAGTTGTAATTAACCCTTTACACCCTAACATCAATATGCATATTCTCCATACTGTTTTCTATACATTTCTCAAGGTGCTAACAAGGAGAATTTGTTAAACAATCAAGAGCTTCTTTTAGTTGATGATCATTTCCTTTACTCTCATGAGCCTCATGTGTGCTTCAGGGGTGATATTGTAAGGAGATATTAGTTTCTAGTCACTCTTAGGGATCAAAGGGTGTATAAAGACAAGTTATCATAAAAATTATAATTCATGGCAATTTTAATTTAAAAAGCAATTTCAATCATTATGAGTGTCTATGAAAGTGAATGGCAATTAGCGAGATAAGAGGAACTAAAATGATCAACGCTAACAAAAATAAAAATCAAGGTGTACTAACTTGTAACAGTAGTTGCCACTTTTCGTCCAGAGAATACTTGAGTGCGTGATTTTCTGGACATGAGTGCAAGCTCATCAACCTCACCAGTTACTCTCCCTTGGATGAAAAATACAAGTGAATTCATAAATTATTTACCATCCATATCTCATTCCAGAAATCTCACTATTATGCAGGGTAACATTATGTTAAATTGACATAATTCAAACTGGTTGGACCAAGTTTTAGTGGCCATGCTTCTGACTACTTAGAATAGAGGGGAAGAGAAATCACACCAGGCAAAAATCATGTTGACCTGAGATTCGTTTTAAGCTATAACAGATGCACAAGTAACACAAAGGATTGGCATTATTCATGGCTGCACATATGAGATCAGTACAACTTGTTTGAAGACCTATTCTTTACACATGAATGATAACGCAAAATTTAAGGCACAATGTAGTCATGACAACAATAAATGAGAAGAAGAAAATGAGGAGCATGAGAGATTTCAGGAAAAAAAGATAACAGCTTTTATTCAATACCCCTATGCTTTTTAGGTGAACCATCTGAGAATTCAGGTAGTCTTGTTGGTTTATAAGTTGGCTGGATATCTGGCAACAGTGAGTTGTTGACTGAAAATGATGATGGCAGAGGTGGAAGCTCCAGTCCATTTGTTCTCACATCATGTGATGACAATTTTGTTGCTGTACCAGCTGATGATGAAGGTTTTTTCTTTGGTTTCACATTAACAGGTTCACATCCAAATGATACATCACAGAGTTGTGGTGTTGGCCGTGTCTGAAAGTTAAGTCAAATTTACACAGAGTTTTAAACATGTTATTGTAAAAAATGTTTGGGAGACAAGTCAGACTTCACAACAAGGAAAGAAGATGTACTAACATCCCATACAGGAGGGAGGACATACTCCTGATTGCTTCATATAGCAAAGACCAGGCCAGGCTGCTGACAACCTTAATGAAATTTATTTCAGTAACTGTTTAAGATCATGCATCCTTTGTTTCATGCCTTAATTACTTACAGTTCATTTTATAGAATTCAAGGAGTCCTTGCAACTTTTTGGTGCTTAAGATCAATCACACTTTTACACCAAGCCCCCATTGTTTGAAGCAGGGATTTCGCTATCCACTACATAATTCTCTATCCAGTGGATAGTGCAGCATGTATTTTTAACACTTGTCCACTGGATTGTGATTTATCTGTTGGATAGGGTTATTTGCCCTTTGGTCAACTGAGCCCAGAACTATAATTCAGATGGTACCTTTGGGTTAACTTCTCCATTTCTGTGATTGGACTTGTGATGTTTGTTGTTGAGAAGATCCACTTTTGATTCAGTTGCTGTGGGACCACAAGAGGCAAGTAGATCTTTTTCATCAACATCAGGTGGTGAAATTTTTGTGTCCTTATCTTGTTTCAAAAGATCTTTCCATTTTGTCACAAGATAGGAAGCAATGTCACCAATGTCACTACCTCGTTTTCGGAGACGATTCACAGCCCTTCCAATCCCAGTTGACTTTTAAGAGAAAAGACATGGAAATATTTTTGAACAAGTCATCATCAGATATCATTGCTAAGAAACTGATACACAGCATTCTTTTAACGTAATCATTATTTTTAAGTCATATTGGAGACATGTCCCTCGGTCGATAATATTGTAAATTCTCCTACTCTGACCACATGAGAGAACTTTAAAGTGTTGGAAACAAAAGACTTAAAAAATCGCACTGATTCCAAAAGATTCACAGACGGATTGAAAACAGATCAAAAGTAGCTTACACGCGTGACAAAAAAACGTGATCTTGTCTTCACGAGGGAGACAGATCAGATTCACATATCATTCTGTAATCAAATGATAATTCAATTTAAAAGCTTCTTTTCTCTAAGAAAAAACAAACAAAAGGTAGCATATAATTCGATATTTCTACTCTTCAAATAGTTCACACGTGGAAAAGTTTCTCAGGCTCCACATGATCGCTTAAATCTTTAGAGATAATGGAAATTAAATAAAATGCAAATTACGAAGAAACTTACCTTCAAAACATCCAGAGTGATTTGTAGCCGATCAAGTTCTTCAAGATATTTTTTTATCTACAAATTGAAGCGAAAATTAATCAAGGCAGGCAATTCAATGTAGTATAAGTTTTAGCTAAATCACTTATCTTACAAGAAAAATAAGAAGCATATTTAGGGACAGGAATTAATACAATTCTGCTAAATCCACAACATGCAGGTAACAATATACACAAAGACAAGTTTACCTTTCGTTCTTCGAGTCCTTCATTGTTCAGTTTTTTATGAATCTTCTGAATATAGTTCTCAAGAGATGGCATAACGATCTCATGCAGATTTCTTAAAGCCTAAAACATCGAGAAACAACGATTAAACGGCCAGAAACGAGCTTCCATCCTCAGGGAATTACTTCATTATTTTCGCTGAAAAGTTCCCCTCTGCGGCGCCGTGTAAATTTCAAGCCTCGTCTGCATGACGATCTTATTTCCGGTGTTTTGGTCCCCAAGTTCCTTCTGGCGAAAAAAAATGATGGACCCTGAGACTGAGAATCTATCCAATTTCGTGCTAAGGGTCTCCCGTTCACCACAAAGAGATAAATAGGAATATAGGCCCTACTTTGACCGCTTGTATGCGCTAATTTGATGCTAATTAAATTCGCATGTAAGCGGTTAATTACGAGCGAATCAGGTGAGTCTGAATGGGGTAATTTTGGAATTTGATTTACCCTAGCTTGGCGATTTGCGCGAATGACAATCTAAGAGTACGGCATTTTTTTGTTCGGCAGACGTACATAATCATTTAGTAACAGAAGCTTTGCTAGATTTTCATCTCGCAGGCGCAGAGAGCGGAATTGTTCGCAGAAATCGATGGTCATTAGAGAATATGTCCCCTTCATTTAAACAGCTTTCATGCAATTTACACAATTTTTTTAACTGGACTGGATAGCTTGGGTAATTTCAATGACTGTAACGATCCTTAGTGGAAACACGAACCTCTAACTTATCTTTTTTCTTCCTTTATTTTCTGTTTTCTAAATGTGCACACGGGAAGCCATGTTAATACATTCCGATTCGGATCCACCGAGCTGTACATGTAGGTTGGTTATACCTGGAGAGCAGAATCTCAACTGGAATCTCAACGGAAAAAGTTTGTCCTTTATCAACGTATTAAGTTACAGTTATAAAGGTTCATCCATAGCTTTGCAAAATTTGAAACGTATGCCACCTTTACGTTGTTTACAAGCAAGATTTTATTTATTCTTACTCCTCAAGAATATTTATTACTCCATCAATTATTTTTGACTTGTAAAGCCTTATGAGAAGCACAGGGGATAAACTGCGTTGTCGAAGTTAACATCATTGATTGAAAAGCTTCACACATAAGAAAAGTAGATGCAACTGTCTATTAAAGTTAATTTAACAATTTATCAGTTATAATACACTCAGTGAATGAATGTGCAGGAGGTGGCGAAGATCACCGAAAGTCTTGTAAGAGGAAGGTACGATGAGTCGACGAGGAATTTCTATTATGATAGAGGTTCCCTACCTAGGCTGTAAACCAGTCTATACGTTCACGGAACAACAACTAAATTAGCTACTATGATATCTTTTCTGGAAAATATACTACCTACAATCTAGTATAAACAATACACTAGATTTTATACAATATACTATGGCTTGTTGCGGAAAATCTTACGTACGTTCTATTCCCCCGAGGGAAAATGTTCATCAAGAAATGACACAAAACCGGCTCCGTCCATGACACGAGGCCATCCCAGCCACTATATGACCATTTCCAGAGGATGACATTGACAAACGAGACACGGGAGGCCTGGGAAATTTGTTCTCCTTATTAGGCAATAAGGGGCGAGGAGGTGAATCCAGTTCAAGTCCCTCGGGGTTATGACTACATTCATTGGTATCTTGGTTAAAAACACAGACTTGACGGCCATTATTAACTGGAATAATACGGTTATTTATAACCAGCACTGTGCTGTCTGGGTGTTGATATATTCCTGGCGAAGTGCACTGATAGATATCATTGCTGTCCACGTACCCACGCGCATTTTCCAGAATATTCACCCCATAGTTATCCGTGGATTGGATGCGGTTTCGAGTAATGTAAGGGTCCCCTGGTCCTCGGAGTTCAACACCACTCATTGCATTACAAAACACGTCATTTTCTTTAATTAGACCTTTACCAGACACAATAATACCATGCTTTCGGTTTCCATAGATACCATTACCGCTGACATTGGCAGCACAGCCAATTTCAATGCAGACACCTGAGCTGTTGTTCCTACAAACACTGTTATCTTGAATGGTAATCTCCGCTGGCTTGGCGATGCTAATACCGCAACCTTCGTTGTTATAAACGTTATTACCCCGGATGAGCAGACCCTCACTTCCGGAAAAATGGATCCCATGTCCTGCATTGTCAAAGATTGTGTTATTATCAACGCACGCGAAATTTTTATCTGGTCGAGGACCTGGTAAAATTAAAAAAAAATTGTTCAATCAACAAAGACCAGAAATCATAAGAAGATCATTTAAAAAAAAGACATTACATCTCGGTGATGTAGAAACTATTACAACAGTTGGCAAGAGTGCTGGTGTGCAGGCATTGTGTTCCTCCTTGTCTTCTAATGATCAGGAACACACGAATTAAATTCCACGCATTTGCGTACACGCTATGTACTTTTTCTTTTGCACGCGCGTGACTACATGCACTGAAGCGCGTGTGATTCCCACGCATTACAAGCATTTGACACGCGTGGAGGTGCTCCAATACACGTCAGCGGTATTGTGTAACGAAATCATAATTTCATCAAATACATCATGAAACTAAAATTTGGGATTAACTTAAAACCAGTCATCCTTTCATCATAAAAGACCTATAAGCAAATTTATTTTTTGAAGCCTTATCAAAAAGGTAACCTTTTGCAAGAGAGAGGAAAATTCTTTAATTACAAATTAATCCATGATACAGAGGTGACAGCCACACCTTAGATTGCCACAAGTTGGCAATGTGAGTTTAAAAGGCACCTAATCAGTGCATCAAATGAGACTCATCTCTACTGAAGTTGTTTAGTTTACTAACCGTTCATGTCAATTGATTGCTCATGGTCCTCAAAGTTTGATGTAGATGACAAATCTTCATCAAAGAACAGAGGCTGAACTTGCTGTTCCTGGAAAACAATGTTATCCTTCAGCAAGTCTTGGCTAAAAATATCATGTGAGCTGATGGACCAGCCTTCAAACTGACTGACGTACTGACCAACAAAGAATTCTGACCAACCAGTTCCTCAAGGATAGTCATGAGTTCGTTTGAAAAGTGAGAATTGGTTCTCTTTTTCTTCAGGCAGGGAACCAACTGACAAATTCATATAACAACCTACCCCATGGCCCTGAAGCATATCTTAATTTGAGAAGATATGATGTCAATTTTGTTACAATTGCCTTCCAAAAATATAACTCCTGTGTTTGAGCAACTAGGTAATTTCCCTTTACATCTCACCTCTTGCTCTGACTGTGCAAATTGTGAGCTGAGTTGTTGGTTGTCATGGTGAAGATCACTGTTACTGACAAGTGCCACTCCACTGTCACCGCAGTCCACAATACGATTTCCATAGATGAGTGGTTTAGACACAGTTAAGATCCAGACCCCACAACCACTGTTGCCTGTACATTGTAAAGAGATACATTACCATTGGCGAGAAAATTTGACAGGTATTTTTTAGTTCATACAGAGGATGCAAATCACAATTTGCTCCTAAACATTACTAATAAAAGTATCATACATTTAAAACAAATTTAGCTCATCCTTCAAATACTGGTAAGAACTTGTCACTTTCATCAAAGAAGTCTAATCAAGAGAGCCTTGCATAGTAACAGACTGAAATAAATATTGATGAAAAAATATCCACAGGATCTTACACAGAAGTAAACCCATGAATCATATCAAGAGAATTACCAAGCTTCACAAGATGTTTGGCCCAAATGGGCACAGTTTTCAAGCTTGAGGGAGGTTGGAATTTCACAAGTTGAGGAACAGAAAACAACCAAGAAACAAATTTAATGTTTACTTCGAGGACATTTACTAAAAGTACCTTACCTCGAATATCATTATCCATGATGACTCCCTTACCACCCTCTCCAATGACAATGCCATCAGCATGCCCATCCCTGATCCAGTTGTTTGTGACCACAGGGTTACCACCATTACGAATATCAACACCTCCCCACTCCATGCCACAGATGTCATTGTAGAGGATGTGACCTCTTCCTTCTTCTGTGACTGCCACACCTGCTGCACGGCCTGCCCAAATTCTGTTGTGCCTGCAAAGTAATCCAAAAGGGCATCAGATTATCATGATTCACTATGTTAACATGATAATGCATTTTGCTATAAGCACACAAACTGTGATGATGACATACTTGACAATGGGATTTCCTCTATAAAGAATATAGACTCCTGCCTCTTTATTGTCATAAATGTCATTGTCCCTTATGACACCTTTGCCACGATCTAAGATGACCACTCCAGATCGTTTCCCACTGTGAATATGATTGTGTTGTAAAATTGGATCTGAGCCACTTCGTATGTCTGCTCCAGCTTCTTTGTTTCCATAAATGTGGTTTCCAGCAACTAAACCAGTGGATCTCTCCCTAAAAAATATCCCAGATGTTCCACAATTGTGAATTCTGTTGTTCAAAATGATGACTTTTGCACCTGTAAGACATCTCACACCATGTGACAAACGGCCAATTTCATTTCCTTCAATCCAGGCATGTCCCCTGCGTCTGACAAGTACTGCTCCCTTGCCAACACAAAAGCAGTTATTTCTAATAATACAACCATGTATGGACCTCACAATGTCACGGCATTGTGTATCCAAGTAGTATCGCCTTGGACAGGAATCACAGCCGACACTTTGGGGATTTCTGGATTGGCAGGTGTCACCAGTCAGAGCAGTCAATTGGCTGCTATTGAAACCTTTAGACTGACTGTCAATCCTCTTTGTAACAACTGGAGGACATTTGCTATTTAGTGGCTGTAAACCTTTGTCAGGAATTGCTTTTAGACCACTACGTGCCCCCACCTCCCCATCAACAACTGACAGGTCATACAAGTCTTCAAGGCCCAGAGAGTCAATACCATTGGACACCATCCAGTCATCAACAGGTCTGGATATCGGCCTAGGTCTTGAAATTGGTGGCAGTCCTTCAATAATGACAGCAGAGGTTTCCTCTGTGCTAAACTTGCAATTCTCAATTCTGCTGTAGCCAACAGAGCGCAGTGTAACAAAAGCATTATTGAATGTACAGTAACGAATGACAATGCTTCCAGGTGATGACACTTGAACCTGACCATGTTCCAAAACACAATTATCCAATTGAACATGTCCAGTTCCAACCTAAAATTTTGAAGACACAGTAAAATTGTTTTGGTGGATCAAATGCTATTATCCACTTAAGGAAAAGATAAACTCATTTCCAACCTGATGGCAAGAAGCTTAACCCATGGATATCAAATTACTTCTATCAATTTGACCTTTGCCCAGAAAATTACCATTTTCCTTGAAATATCACTAGCCCAAGGTAAAGGAGAAGGTGACATGTTTATTCAATATGTAAGGTCACATAAACAATGACAAAGACAAAACTGAACATTTGAATAAGAATCACCCTGTTCAAGTGGCTTTTGACAACAGCCCCAGTCTGATTGGTGTAACATACAAACACTAAGGTAGCAGGACCTTTAGCTGTGTAAAAGGTTATTGTTTTCAATACAGAAAAAAAAAATTAAAATCAGTAGACAACGTTAAAGATAAGAATCCCAAATATGAAATTTTGATAATTTTTTTTTGAAAGAAGAAATTTTTAATAATAATCCCACCTTTTGTTGCTGTGTTGGCTTTAAGGCCTATAATGGTGATTGATCAGCTCTAGAATCAATCAAATGTTGTCTACTGTTGAAGAACTTGATAATGGAAAAAAATTTCAACCCTTTTAAAATCAAGTTTTTCCTTTTCAAACACAGTTTTATTGTAGTACCCCACACATTTCCTGCCGTGTAAATGCACACTATTGTCACTGATAGGATTGATGGAATTATAATCATTATTTTAGCCTTTGGCAAAACATTATCATGTTGTTTCAAAATTATCACAAGCAGTGGGTTGGATTATTTTGTGAACATTCAATTTCATACATCTCTGCTAAATTTCATCTGCACAGTGACAAATGTTTTGAAATTTGAAACATCACAACCAATGGCAATAACAACAATTGGTTAAAATTTTCAATGTTCTTTTTTCAGTGGCATATTTGATCTACAGGACAGTTAATAAAACAAGCTTTTCAGTTTTCTTACACTCAACAACTGGCATGGCAACATTCAAAATTCCTAATGGCAAAATTTAAAATATCGATAAAATTTACAAAGCGTTGCAAAAATTAAGATTTGACACATGGTAAAGACATATCTGAATTGGAACTAACACACTAAAAAGACATTTTCCATTCCCTTGTTGCTCCAAATGAAAAATTGTCTGAATTGAGACGTGTCATGTTTTTGTTTGTATTTTCCAAATTGGTAGCCTGCCTATCAAGTTAAGAAATATAATATACACGAACACAAAGAAATTTCATGGTCTGCTTTAAGTCTTTATTTTAACGCTCTCACTTATGTATTAGATAAAGATTGGCAAGTCTATCCTTCAAACTATTAGGAAAAATGTAGCTGGAAATGTACAAGGGAACATGAACACAGGCTTTTGGGATAAGTAATACATTGGCTGCACAACATAGGGAGGTCTTGAACTTATTATAATGGAGATTTAAAATATATACGGTGATAAGTAAATATGTTCAAAGAAGAAAGTTGCGATTTCCGAGTAGGTTTGGCCGCTCAAACTAGACATTCGAAGCTGGAATTATCTGATGTCGCGGAAATTATCTTTAGATCTAAATAAATTTCACTGACCTTCAAAATAACAGGAAGGGGGTTTTGTGATCTCTGTACACCGGGTTGTAGAATAATATTTTGAATCCGTGTTGTTGAAGCTTGTTGTTCAATAGGAATCTGTAAATGAACATCTCCCAGTTGTCCTTCACCACAAATCTCGATCGGAAACTTTACGCTCAGTACATGCTGTTCGTCGTACACACCAGCATTAAGTAGTAAACAGTCAAAAGGCGCTGCAGCTGCTATTGCGCTTTTGATGGTCAGAAATTCTCTTCCACGTCCTACTCGGAGAACACGTCGTCTTTCGAGCCTTCTTCTAAACAAATATAAGCAAGGAGCACAGCGAACTTCTACACTCCTGTTCACCCATTGTTTCGAAGCCATATAATGAGTCTTATATGTATCCTTCCATGAAGATGGTTCTTTTTGTGTGTAATTTGGCCAGTTAGGATGTTTCCAACGCTTGGACGCCAAGAAAAGTTCTTTCCAACGGGTGGAATCTAAACTTTTCACAAGCTCTCTCCATTCTTGGCAAACTTGCGAACATCGACACAAATCTTGCACTGAAAGGTGCTTTAATACAACCCGCCATAACTCCAATGGCAGTAAAACTTCTTTCTCAGGCATTTATGTTAACTTCTGTAGAGATCACTATCCATATATTGGTCAGGGTAACTGTTTTTACATGAAGAACAACTGAGAGTGATCGGCTTTCCAGCCGCCATACAACATTGCGTGAACAATATCCTGTGTGGATGTTTCGTGATTGGCTGGTAAAACAAAAGGATATTGTGCGCGTTGTCAGCCAACTTTGAGAGATCAGCCTATACACCTCTCTCCTTACAAAGTTCGCTGACAACCCCTGAGGTGATAATCAACAGGAAATTCTGAAGAAAATACCACTGAGCAGGTGAGGTCGATCTGAAATTTTCCTGACACTTACTGGAAGTCATCTGGGGCTTAATGTCAAAGTTACCATGCAAGCTGGCGATCTTAACACTTAAATGATACTTTTATGGTAAAAACAAAATCACACAATTGACATAACGTCAGAGAGCTAGAAAACAAAAACCGGAAAATTCTGTGAGGTGTATCCGGATGACAAATTTTCTCTGAATACTTCTCGAAAACAAAGTCTAACAATCCCAGAAAGATTCCTCCAATCTTCAAATATTTTCCTCTCTGGCGAAAAAAGGGGAAAATGGCCTGTTCATTTTGTCCGCAAACTAGAGCTGTTTTCCCCCGATAGGCAAACCATTTTCTAGCTGACCTGAGAAGTGAAACATTGCTGACGTATCCGTAATTTTGAACGTCTTAGTCAAAATTAGGCATAACAACAGAATAAATTATCGTTTAGGTAATTTAGTGTTAATAACTGAGTTGAAAACGTAAATTAGCCACTGCAAAGAGTTTAAAGGTTGACTTTCCGAGCGTTAGCCCTTAAATTGTCGTTCGGTCGGAGAGAGGGAGGAGAAGAACAGAACAAACTACAAAAAATTTTCTTTAAAGTAATCTGATAATCTTGCTAAAATCATTTGCGAGAAATCCTCAAAATTTCTAAAATTCTTGCGACATCCAATTTCTTGAGACAGAGCTATCTAGGATCTACATTTACTCCTTTCAGTGGGTGGTACCCAGTCACTTCCCTTCTCCTCCCCACTTCCAATGTGACTTGTCCGGATGATGCACTGGGTACGAGAGGAAATGCGATCAGAGCTTGGAAACCACTCTCTATTCTTTCTTTTCTTCTCGGCTGTTTTTCTTTAGACACGAAGAATATGCCAAGCCGGCGAAAATCGGGCAAAAATGCCCCGATTCTTAGCCATGAATTTGTGATAACAAATCATGGAGATATAGTCTCCTGTATATGTATGGTTTTCATGATCGGGCTGATGTTCCAGGTAAAATAATCGTAAGTTTTCTCGCCAACCATCTCGCGCAAGATAATTGAATTGTTCTTTCTCAATCAGCTAAATTTGAATTTTTTTCTTCTGGTTCCGTCTTACCAGGCAACATCCAAAGTGGCGTCAGTTTTTATCGCGCCTCAACATAATGTGTCGAGAACTCTGAACGGTACGTAGAAATAAAAAATTTCCATGTGTTTTACGTTTAAAAAATTCAATTAACTGCATCCGTTTGGGAGACAAGCGACAGTTAACAGCACGTGAACTGCATGTAGCTAATACTTAGTGGTATTTTCCTTGTCCTGGGGCATCAATCAAGTGTACATCACTATCCTTTAACTGCTATTCGACTGCTAAATTAGGATCTTCCTTTCTTACAAAAGCTTCATCAATTATTACCCTTACCTTGTAGGTTCAATCCTAAGCTGTCGTGTGCATATTTGATTGGTCACTTTAAGGAGACAATGGAATGATACAACTTCGTTTTAAATGCTCTTTTTTTCTACAGAAAATTGTACATTCAAATCTTTTTAGTGTCGTTTTCCATAAAAATCTTCTTCAAAAATAAAACTTCTGTTTAGGTTGAATAATTCCTTCAATTTTTTTATCTCCAGTTTTTACACATCTCAAAATCTGTATGGTCCTCAATACACCTGTGCTGTGTTGACAATTTAAACACAATCTTACAGACTGTTAATATATCTTCTAAATTTTTTTTTTGCTATTATATACTTTATGGTTGACCAAAAGTTTGTCTTTAAAATAATTATGTATATTTTGCAAACCAGGCCTATAGGAAAGGAGATAACTAGATTTTATCAACCAAGTTGTTAATGGAAATTGGCCACTGTCGAGAGTTTCTTAAACTGACACTTCAAATGTTACCTCTTTGTCAAAGTAAACATGTCTTTACAGTAGCCATTTATGATATCAACTCAGTTGAAAGAACTAAATTATCTTGTAATACTCTCCTATCAACTCAGCACCACAGTTTCATTAGCGACTTACCTGCTCCCTCCCCTCCCCACCCTTATTTTATAGGAAACAAGCCCATATTGTTTAGGGAGAAGAAACATAGTTCTATGTTTTAATAACAACAATATAAAATATTTTACATCTGCTTTGCTTTGATCTCAATACCAAATAATTACATTAACAGTTTTTACTTTTATTTATGATTCTCTGATATAATTACTAGATTAAAAGATTTTAAGAAATGCAAAAAAAATAAAACACTTTCAAAATGCAGGGTATTTCCATACATTTGCATGATTCATTATGATGAAGTGCATGGAGATCTTGATATTTGTGTATTTGACTTGTAAATTATTCCATCCTTTAGGAACAGAAGACTTGCCAACCAAATACACAAATGGACCAAAGGATTTCTGCACCATTTTCTTTTATTCAATGGCATGGATTGTGGTGCATGCAATCATCCAGGAATATGTCTGGGATGTGAGCAAATCTTTACGTTAATTATAATATTTTTGTTCTTGTGAAGAATTAAAGTTATTATTGACTAACCTTTGTTTCTCTACTTTTCTGGTTGCAGAAAGTCTCTCGAAAACTTCGTCTATCAAAGACAAAGAATACAAAATTCAATGATTCTGGAACATTACTTCCTTTCTATTTCTTCTTTGCTGCTTGGGGAGCAGATATTGTGGTGAAGGTAAAATGTTTTTATAGTGTGGCGTGAAAGATCTATGGCAGATTTAGGGAAGTTTCCAACATGTTGTATTTCTATTTTGCTAGAAAAGAGAAAACTTTTGAATAAATGAGATATTGACTATTATGTTTAAGATGTACAAGGCAGGTGAAGTCCTTCCTTTGGCCATTACTGGTTAGTAGACAAGTGTTTTTTTGATCACCATTCACAGAGGCTTTTTGCGCAAGCCTATTTATTGGCTGTTTATTCCCCATTAAAATTTTATTCATGTGAAAAATTACTTTAATCTGGTTAATTCTTGTGGGAAGCCTCTTTCTTTAAATTTGTGTCTCATTCCTAACCACCATTTCCCAAACACCCAAAACAACAATAAAAAATTCATGATACAAATGTAGTGGACATTTTTTCAAGTGTGTAGGCCATATTCTTTTAATCACTTCTAAGCAAGGAATTCACTGAATTTATGGTCCAATCTTTTTTACTTTACTTTTCTATTTTAGGAAGGATTTATTCCAAATATTTCAAAGCTTTGGGACGGCTATCCACACAACGAAATGTCGTAAGTTCACTTAATTTTTCTTGTCCTCTTGAATAATTTACCTGTGTATCTTGCACTTTTTTGCCTGAAAGTTAGAAATTATCTTGAGATGAATTTTAAAAATTGGTTACTCATATCACATAAGAATAGATTTAACCCAGTCTTTGTTAGGCAGCTCAATGCTCATTCATTTATTGACACAGTTGTTTTAAATGATCATTTTTCCGCTAGATTCACTCTCAAGTTCTACTTCATCCTTCAAATTTCTTTTTGGGTGCACTGCTTTCCAGAGCTCTACTTCACAAGAGCAAAAAGGGTAAGAATCAATGGCTTAATACAATATTACTACAATAAAGAACCTACACACTTCTCACATAGAGAACATAATAAACATAGAGTAAGTTTTGAGCTTGGTAAAGAAATAGAGAAAGATGCTTTTTGTCTTGTCACAAGTGTGGAACAAAGAAAAATTCTGGGTACCCGTAAGGAATTTAACCTCAGAGCTTTGGATTCCATGCTCTAATGCTCTACCACTGAGCCACAGAGACTCTGAGCCAGGTCTATTACAAAGTTCACATGACATGCATCCTGCATACTGCCAGGATCAGGAATGTCAATAGCATCATGTTTGTAAATAGAATAAGAGGGAAGATTAGTTTTGAGCTTGGAGCTCATTTCTTGTTTTTCTTTGCAGGAAGAAATTTTCCCCAAAGTTCAGTTGTACATTGAATATCTGCTATTTATCTGGGCTGCCTACATGCTGAAGTAAGATTTAGTTTATTATTTATTAATGTTATATGTTTTATATAATACTGAGAGGTTTGAGAGTTGCTTTGTAAATTGATGTGTATTTAATTTAGTGTTCCATGACCATACTTGTTGAGAATATTTGTGGGCCAGAAAGTTGCAACAAAATGTAATAATAATTTGTTCATGTTGTCTACAGCTTCACCCATGTCACCCTGTGCTGCTTGGTTGTTCATTATGCAGTAGAGACTCTCTATCATGGAATAAGAATGTTAAACATCAGTGGAAAGGCAGATGTGGCTCAAAGCTTGTAAGTTAAACACAATTCTGTCCTAAATTATTTCTTGCTTTTAGTAGAATGATCTTCTTATCATTTTAAGATGTTAGGTAAGTTGTCCTGTGCAGCTGAGACTGACACACATCTATCCTACAGGAGTACTGCTACCTGCCCCCCTTCCCCCCCCCCTTCCATAGTAAATTGTCCATTGAGGGTTACCTCCTTCCCTCCCAGGCTACCCCCTCCCCTATTAGATTCCTTTCCCTCCCAGGTGCAGAGGCCCTAGAAAAACAACAAAGGGACTCTGCCCCAGTCTCAAATGCATTAATTTGGATAGTTACACAATATAGCACAACAACCATTAAAATAACATCAGCTGGTGTGGTGTTATTTCACAATTGAAGTAACTGTTCATAAAAATCAAATGAGTCAAACTGGATTACATTTGTCAATGTCTTTTCTTTTATTATAGGAAAACTCTATTGTATCCCCAATTTGAAACAAGATTCATGTCTGTGTTTACTGGCCACAATAATATTCAGTAATTTTTTCATTTTAGGTTCTGGGTGTGGACTGTCCTATTTGCAATTACCCGCTTTGCCATTATTGCCCTTACTGTTATGACTTTCTGGTATGTAATAACCATGTTGTTATTTTCATCAATTTTATTGGAATTTAAACAATTTCATAAAAAAGATAAATTTATATCAATGGTTGTCAGTGGTATGTGGCATTCACTTTAAGTCCCTTTGGTAAGCTAAACAATCTTATACATTGTTTCCTTTTTATAAAACAGGTATGGACTTCCCCGTCTGGACAATGCTGGTCTAAATGTGGATGTTGGAAACTTTAACAGTCCTCCAATAAGGTGAGAAAACTGCCATGTTACATCGCAGATACCTCAGTTACCTATTTTGTGGTCACTTGTCTAGCATGTAAGTAGACTCTCATCAATAGCACTGGGGCATAAACAAGCCAGCAAGAGGTCTGCAAAGGGGTCTGGCACTAATATCAGCCTTCTCACAAGCTTGCCTTGCTCAAGGCCTCAAACTTTCATGTGGGTACAGGAATATTCATGTCAAAACTATAATAATGAGGGCTTCTAATCACTTATCCCAAAAGGACAAGACATTACTCTTTTAACAGTTGTAGCTGAATGCAAGGTCACTACACCAAAGGGAACAAAACATACCCTTGTACAGTAACAAAAAAAGATAACGTTGTTTACAATGTAAACAAAGGAAAGGTGAGAGATGCTGATGACAATAAGATGTCAACTAAAAAACAACAAGGCAACCATCTAAAATTCAGGAAAATGTGAGTGGCAAAGTCATGATTGGTTAAGTTTTGCTCTAATTGGCTGAGAGGTGCTATAAGTTTTTGGGACCAATCACTCAGTTAAAAAAAAAAAATAAACTGGAAATTTTTCTAAGTCATAAATCATAATCCAATTGTATTTCAGACTCACTGCTATGGCTGCAGTTATACTGATGCAAGCCTGGCTGGCATGGAACTTCATCTGCTATCAGATCAAGCTGTGGCGTGAACGTGTCAGTGCTGCCACACCCTCCAAGAAGAAAGATACCAAGAAGAAGAGCAAGAAGGACAGTGACAAGAAGAAGAAAGAGGAAACTTTTGTTGAGGAAAGTGATGAAATGGAAGCTGACGAATATGAAAAAACAAATGGGTCACCACAGGCTGTTGGCAAAGCTAAAAAATCTTAAGTTATTACAGTCGTGCCTACCTCCCTGTCATTTAATAAGTGGAGGTGAGGGAGGCAGTTTGATAGTTTATGTTAAATGAATAACAAAGGGAAAGTAAGGCTGAAGTATGTGCTTTGTTACATGTTTAACATTTTGAAGGGAGGCCTTTTTTCTGACTCTGTTGTTACTATGATATTACAAGACCAACAGCAGTTAATTCAGAGCCTAATTAGATGTCAGAAAAAATTTTACTGTGAAGAAATGGTTCCCTGTCTTAGGAATGCAGTCATGTTTCTTGGATTTGCTTGGATAATTATTCCCTGTAACTGTATGTAGGAAGGTGGCTGTATTTGCTGACTGAGGTTGGCCTTGAGATGAGGAAAACAGATGGAATAATAAAGGAAACCTCCACTGCTGGGACAAGTTGCTGTGAAACTGACAAAAATGTCTTGAAATGTGAAGTAATATGAAGGTTTTTTTAGAACTAATGGGAAGCAAGCACTGAAATGTACAAAAACTGGAAACAAATACAAGCAATATTGATGTTTGAATGTATTTCCCTCTAGATGCCATTTTGTATCATATGACCTCCAAAAGTTGCTGCTATTATCACAAAACGATATTCCTTCAGTTTGCTAGAGCCCCAGAGGATCATGCAGATAGTAATAGCACATTCCATGGTGTTACATGGTAATGCACAAATTCCAACATTTGGATGTTACTCACTTATATACCAAAAAAGTTTATTGAAAGGTTGTTTTTGATAATTGAACAAGAACCTGTCCTCTGTGTGGAGGTTTTCTTTAATTGTGTTTTCACTGTGTTATTTTTAACATTACCAAGAGCTTCAGTGAGTGGCTAAAGTAGTTGACCTCCTTCCTGTTGCTCGTTGGTTGCCAACCTTCCTCTCAACATATAATAAATAGGCCTGAATCTTTGAATTCATCTCTAATAAATGTCTTAAAAGTCCCCTCATCCCCCAAACAGTGTAGAAAAGTGGTGAGCATTTTGTTAACATCATGTGACATTGGAATGGATGAGAGGCAAAGGTCAATGAAAGTAATACAAAATTTAAAAAAATTTTTTTAGAGCATGCCAAGACTTTTGCCACTTGTTGTTGCAAAGCTGAGTTGTTCATTTTCCCTTTTCCTCTTCCCTTAGAGGAAAGAGTCATTTTTCAACCGTCTATTTTCTGTTTAAAGTAGAGCCATTCAGCGATGTACTGTGGCCGTTTAGCTTCTCTTAACAATGGAAATAAACAATCCTGGAAGGTTGCACCTGTTGCTTTGGAATCCTTTTAATTTCTGCTTTTCAGACCAGGTTGAAATTAAACCGTAAAAAATGTAGTGAGGTTTATGAAGGAATAAAAGAGGACACAAGATTAAATTAATTTGGGAGAAAAGTGAAAAGTTACGTATATGGCAAAAAACAAAATTATAATTCATAACCAGTATTTCAACAATTAAAATGTAAGTTTGCTCAATGTAATTTATGGTTTTAACTCGTATTTGGTTTATTCCGTGATAACCATCCAGAAAGAAACATGTTGTGATTTGTTCATCGAAAAGATTTAGAATCAGTTTACTATTCACCATCCTTTTTCCATCGTTGATCATTGCCTCTTTCCCTCTCTCAGTCTCTCGAGACTGATTGAAGCAATGTTCACAATGAACTGTTTTACAAATGACTAGGAATTATTGTGTGTTCGCTGAATCGAAAAAGATAAATCGGCACAGTTTAAATCATCGATTGTTTCAAGTTTATTGTTGTTAAACTATATTCCTATCTTCTTTAAAACCAAGTATTCTTCAACCTGTTGTGGACAGTTCTTATGCATATCTATCAGATTTGAAATCGGTGAATTATATATCTTGAGGTAGCTATGATTCTCAATCTTGATTATTTTCTATTTATTTATTTATGTCTTTCGTTAAAATTCGAAAAATTTCACTCCAGCAAGGGCACATGAGTAAAGCGATTTTCGATTAAGTTTCGTTAAACTAAAACCAAAGTAACAAAAAGGCCAACAGAATAAAAATAAATACAAATCATAGGAGCCCTCAAGAAAACGACTTTAACGCATGCAAACGACTCAAACGCTAGAGACCAAGTCGCTTTAAGCTTAAATCTTGCATTTGATTTTGTGGCGCGGTGACCAGACGTATCACGAACAGTCTAGTCCTGTCCAATTCATGGGTGTATTTCTCAGGTCCCAATCTAAATCAAATGTGTATTACATTTTAGTGGTAAGGCGCTGCTTTTGATTACTCTTCATCTGGATTTATTCCTCAAAATCCTATCTAAGAGAAAGCGGGGTGTATATTTCTGTTAAAGGTTAGTGCCATATACTTTAAATACCGATTTGTTAGAGACCCTAAGACTGTGAGCCTTTTATTGGCTGTGACGGCGATTGAGTTCAAAGCTTTCACTAGCTGAGTTTTGGCTACGAGCGTTATTGCCATGACAGTAAATCAACTTCCTTACAAAAGTGCGGAAGTCTTTCATTTGCAGCATGTATAAAATAAAGTTTATGACACAGTTCGAAAACATAAGAACACTACCAATACTCTTTGTCACATAATCTGTTTGGAAATCAAGTGAGGGCCTGGTCATCTTAACATACACCCCATAATAACACGATATGGAAAATGGAATGACGAAAGCACATGAAAAAGAAATAAGAAGACATGTTCCTCGTACTGTGGCAGCCCTCGCACTTGCTCTGATAGCGTTCTCTTTCAGGATATCTACTTTCTTCCTATGTCTAACCCACAAGGTCTTTGCAACGGACGTGTTAAGATAGACGATTATCAGGCTTGGTAACAGGTGCAGCATTGTTAATGAACTCCCAGCGATTATTTTAAAAGGTAAAGAGCTGATATCAGTCGTACAAATAGTTGTGTATTGTTTGTCGCTCAGGTCATATTTAACATTAGTCATTATTGTTGCAGGGATCAATGCCGTGATAAAACCCAGAATCCATGCAGCAGACACTAGTTTACGAACAGTAGAGATGCTTAAACTGCGAGGAATAGCGCGGGTTGATAAATATCTCTCTATGCTTATTACAGTTATATTTTTCAATGTTATGGATGGAAACAATACGTTTAAAAATCGAAGTACTTTGCAAGACCAGGCATGTTGAAGTGGATAAAATGTGACCTGAATACAGGCTAAAGGTATTGAAATCGCACAAGAAAACAGATCTGAAAGAGCTAAACTCTTAATGTAAATCCTTAAATTTCGTTCGAATGGATTAAATTGCAGATATGAAACTGAGTGGTTCTTTTTCGACACAAAGTAGTAGATAAGACTGTTGCCCAAAAACCCGACAATTCCAATTGATGTGAGGAGTAAAATTGTAATTAGTTTAGTGGTGAAACCTGCTGGTGGGAACACGAAACTCCAAGGTGTGCTAGGTAAGTCTGTCATGTTTAGGAGACTGAAAGATTGATTAATGGAGGAGAGCCTGGACACTTGTTGTGGTTCCTCCATAAGAAGTAGTCTGTTGGAAGCTGGAATAGAAAAATACCACAATAATCATTCATTTTAAGATGGATTTTGTTGCCTCTCGAGCTCCGCGCTAGTTCTTGACCGTTTGCTTCGCGCTCTGATAAGACCGGGAACGACCGTGGTTTGACCAATATTGCCATCATTAGATGAGTTTTAGACTTGGATCTTGTTGTGGTTATAATTATGGTTATGATTGTTATCATTATTAGGTAAAATTTATCACATATTGACCAAACTCGTCAAAAATCTCTTTTCTGCACAATGATTGTGCCCAGAGCGATTAGCGGATATCTTTGATTGACCAATTTAAAACTACATGGATGAATAACTGAGAGCTGAACAAATTTTGTTATCACTAAAATGGCACAGTGTCCAAATAAATCAACAAACCTAAGATCTTTCAAAAACAGAAGCTTCTCCTTTTTTACTTAAAAAAAAAAAACTTTGGGTAGCTCATGCAAGAGGTAAGGAAAGAACATTTACCCGTTAGGTGTGTCGGGACTAGAAATTTCATCCACCTTCCCATAAGCCCCTGCTCTTATCAGCTCAGGTCAAGCACACCACAGAGCATGTTTTATCACTAGCTGATCTGTAGATAAAAAGTAGTAAGTGTCAAAAATTTAAAATAAAAATGATAGGTTTTAACTTGCAAGATTTTAATTCCATATACTAAACGACGTTCCTGCTTGCGATGCTGGGAAACAAGAGAGAAGTTTATGGGCCACGAGCTGAAAGCGAGTAATCTAAATCACGCTCCTTTGAATTTCTAGAATTTTAAGCTTTTAGTTTTTGCTCATCTGGTCCCAGTCGTTTGAAAGATGAATCGAACCAGTAATTTACATTGAATAAAAAAAAAACAGAAAATATAAACGAGAAAGTAAAGACAACTAGAAAAATAAACGATTTTTTTAGGTCTTGAGTATCAGTAATAAAAGGCTTAAGCGGATGGTTTATTCACTACAACGATTTACATTTTTTGGAAAGCTGTACTACGCACAATTTCCGATTTCCAGCAATTTTTTTTCCACTGGACATCCTTTCTAAAATTCATAAAAATAGAGACGTATGAACCCAAAAACACCTCTTTCTTCCTTTCAGTCGAAACAAACTATAATTCAGAGACCTGAAAGTGCTAAGATTTTCTCATAACTATCCTTGCAAATTGGTTTAAAAAAGGTTAAACCAGAATGAAGATTGAATCATGAGGTTGTTACTGCCAGTTTGACTCTTCCATATTCTGATAAATTTGCACTATTAGAAAAGTTAGGATCAACAATTCTTTAGATTATTGAGCGCTTTAAGTTATAGACCTCTCTTCCCCGCACAAGGTTCTCTCAGATTACTTACACAACCATTAAGTTGTTACTCCGTAGCTTCCCAAACCTTTGTTAAGATCTTCCCTCTCACTTTCCTGTTCTCCTAGTTTTAGTTCTCTTCTTTACACACTGTTCAAGTTATCAAATTTTCATAACTTATAGTTCTCTCTTCCTTCCTTTATATACGTTTCTTAGCCCTTTACCTTTCTGAGACAGCCTATTTTCAGGCACAGAATCAAACAGATGTTTCGTCGGATTTGACGCAAGAATTGTATTGCTGGACTCCTGGTTGAACAATTTGGATGTAATTAGTTCGATTGCATATTGTGTGTATCCCATCTTAGATTCTCTGTAGCCACGTATTTCTCGCACGAGCTACAACTGAAATATTTCTAAGCTCAATCTGTGCTTTAGTTTCTTTTATGAAAAAAGGAAAAAAAATTGAGATATTAAAATTCCAGTTATAGATGTCATTATCTTGATTGTGTATGTTTTGAACTCTAATGATCATTCAGTCTATGGACATCTCCATATTTAATTCTCATCATCAGTTTCTGTTAAGTCACTTACTTCTCTCATGAACCGAACCTGATTAGAAACGTTCGTACAGATTCCTCCGGACAGGTATTTGTTCAATAAAATGTTTTCATCTTCGTATCGTTTGCGCGGTTCTTAAATTTCAACCAGACTGTTATTTGGACCAGAAATCAAAACATTTGCTCTGATTTTGGACAAACAGTGATTACTGCTTGCCGCTCTCGCCCTACTCGGCTTTATGAATATTCTCTAAACATCATTATGTTTAAAGTTTAAAGTTACAGATCGAACTGAAATGTAGACATTCAGTTTGCAAAAGTAACAAAATGAAAAAACAACGTTCTCAATGAAACGCCACTTTTGTCATCTTTCTTAGTTGTGACTTTTCGCAGACGGCTGCTATGTTTCCTTTCTAAGATCAGTTTTTTTAGCATTTATTGGAAAAGCTCTTAAAACTTTGAGGATTTGCGCAATAAAAAAGTAATTGTGAACTTTTATTCTTATCATGTATTTCATCATAATTTTTACTTCACTCGGCGACAACACCTGTTCATTTCTCACACAAAAATCAGAGTATTCCTCTGAATTTTTTTCCACTTCAGGTACTGTGATACTTTAAGAATTCTAAACGATGTTGGAGCTCATTTAGTTTTTGATATTCAAAAAATATTGCTGACTGCACGGTAATCCGGGTCAATCTGAGTGATGACAGTTTTTGGATCTTTAATCCGTTTATAGTAGAGCAATTTAATCAAATGAATAATATATGGTTAAAGCAATTCGTTGAGTAATTAACCATAGGAGTAATAGAAAAAAATCTGACGACCGCATTGGACGACAAAAAGTCATGTTACCAATGAATAAAAATACGACATAATGTATAAAGCAGGATGCCCATCGGCTGGACGTATTCAAGAGCTGCCTTCTTTTCCACGAGATAACAGCTCAAGTAAATTACTGCGCAGTTACAAAGGCATGACGCGAAAGATCTATATAATTAATCTTTGTTTGATTTGCCGTGGCAATGGTGCGGAACTGTTTTCTAAATTAAATTCAGCATAGAGCTTGAAGGGAACAAAATGCAAAGGCAGAAACTGAACGACTGAATTAATGTCTGTACTTCAATGGTGCTTTTTAAGGTAATGCTGTATAATCCTTCGATCTCTCGACCCCCTGAAAATGCCGTCGGAGATTTAACGCGCGTTGCCCCCGTGCATGGGCTATTTATTGACAAAATATCAGGGCATCCGGGATGCAGACCAATGGTTTCACAGCACGCACGCATTTTCGATATCGCAGAGAGCAGTGTGGATTAAACTTAAAGGGCTAAAGGAAAATCCTCGTATCTCAACATGGTCTTTGAAATTCCCCGCTATACCCCGGGGTTGGGTTTTAAATTGATGAACGCATAATTTTTTTCATAATTACTTTTTTGGAAAAGTGATTCCGAAAATTGCTGCAAAGCTCGCGTCGTTCATAGCGCTTGGCACAAACAGGAAAGAGAAAATCCTATGTTCTCTTTGTGCAAAACAAGACAGAAAAAGTAAACCAATCCTTTTGACGGAAGTGATTTCTTGAGGCCCAAAAGATAAATCTGTAATGAGGTACAAAACCATTTCTGTGTGACCGTGAGAATATATGACCACTTGTCACTTTTCCAGGCGACAGTCCGCCCGGTAAGAGTTTACACATATACTTAAAATATAACTTCGAAAACGAAGGAAATGTTTTAACAGATATTTTACGTTTCCTTCTTCCTATCAGCTACCTAAACGTGAAAATTATTTCAACAATGATTGAAATCATCAATCTCAAGATTAATTCGAATGCTTCAACTTAAATCACATTGCAGTAGACGTTCTAAAACTTGTAACAGACGCCCTACTGACGCTGTATCGCCTCATCTCTTGAAGGCGAGAAAGGAACCTTGAAATGGCTTTAGGAGCCCACAAAAAACGCTTCATCTGCCACACTAAGTTACCCAGCTGTCATGAATTTTCCAACAACGGGTGTCAAAATAGTCTTTTAAATACGCGAAGGAACTAACTGGAACAGTTTTTTTTATCATCATTCATGTTAAAAACAACATAAAGAAGAAGTTCTACGCGTTTTACAAATTTATATCCAAAGTAACTGAGTTCATAAGGTGTAAGAATATTAGCGTAAAATAAATTGACTAGAAAAATATTCAAATTAAGATTAGATTATCCATTGAAAGGTATAAAGCCGTTAACAATACTTAATGAACTAAGGGGAAGTAATAACTGAAGTCCTACTACTGCAAATTTCACATTTCATGAAAACCATATTTTAGAATAGCTAAAAAATTAAACTTTTCGTCAACAAACATTCAATATCAAGACGTAACTTTCTTAAGAAACAATATCTAACGGGATTGAAATCCGTAAACGCCGATTAGAACTGAAAAACACCGTGGTTAAATTTGTCCAATTAGATATAAAGCTAACACGAACCAAAAGCAGCGAAAGTACTCAGTTAGGACAAGCATGGGTCAAAAGTGTATTTTCTTTCACATTTCGGTTTTCCATGCTTCTGATTTCCTGCAAATGACGCCAAAACAGCGGCGGCTTCAGCGGATGAATTGAGACTAAATTTGAAAGAGTTGCTCTCTATTCTTGGGGAAACATTGTACTTCACAAAGGCACTGTTGTCCGAAACAGTAAAATTAGGGCAGGGTAGAGGTTCCATCACGTAACAGGAGGCTGTCCCAGGTTCAGTTCTAAGCCAACTGTTTTGATAGAAACCACCCAAGTAAACATCTGCTACACTCCATGGGAGCTGGTAAGGTGTAGGTAGATAAACACTGTTGTTGAATGGGTACTGTTGTCTGGTGACCTCGAATTGGGAATTTAAAATTCTGGACACGCTCTGAATCAATCCGCCGTTTTCTTTTTTTGCCGTCTTGTCATTTTCGTCAACGGTCTTCTGGTCTTCGTGGAAAGGCGATTCTGTTTTCACGAGCGTGGGAGAGAAACTCACTGCAAATTTAATCAAAAACTTTCATTCATTTGCAAGAAATCCATAAAAAACACTGAAGAAAACATTTAAGAGCACAAAAAGAAACTTCCTACATCATATAAAACCATTAAGAACAAAAAGTAACAAGACCAGTTTCTCATTTTTCCGGGATTCAAATAAACAAGCTAGAAAAACAACTTAGAAAAACAACTAAAAAGTTGCAAAAATTCTACTACAAAGTACGTAAATATTTTCCATGCACGTCTGAATAACATCCGTTTCCGTCAATGAACGGTTTCTCTGAAAGAATACCAAGCTAAGAAAACGAGACTCTACGACTACTTCAGCCAGACATAAAGATACACAAGATAACGTTTGGTTTTTCACCAAAGAAAAAAATGTCACTTAGTAAAACGACAAACAATATAGGCTTAGTCTCGTACCTTGAATTGGTTCGACAGCAGTTGAAAGGCAAGGAGTTCTATGGTTTTCTATGGCTTTCATCTGTTTTCGCCGAAGTCGAACTTGCTTTTTCATAACACCTCTTTTTTTGCGTCCCTTTTCACACAGCACGCAGTGACAGTTCAAGAACGGACAATGACGTTTGTGACCTTTTAGCATTGATCGGATTCCATGATTGCTGCAGATCGTGCAGGAACGCTCGGCTTTCTTTCTGGTGTGTTTCAGTTCTTCTTTAGAAGCCTGGTCCATTTTGTTGTTTCAGTCCGTTGAAAAGCGGTCTCAAACTGAAATTTCTTTCTTCGTAGATGATGCCTTAACCGCTTCAACAATTGATAGGATAGTTGAGCGGAATCTGTTCATAAGGTGGCCGTTATACTCAGTCACTGACAAGCAAATGTCAGTCAAGTCAAAATCTCGCTCATGATTGGCGAAGGTATCGAAGGTATCACGTGCGCGGCTTGTGACAGGACAGATAGATGTCCATTCAAAACAAAATAAGTGTCGGTTGTTTTGAATGAATGAATGAATTAATGAATGTACTTACTCGTTCTGTAACTTTTCATTTATTCGCACAATAATGTCTTATTTCCTCTGCAGAAGCATTGAAAGCTCTGATGAAGTTGTTCCATATTCTACTTCTTCAGAATAATCTTCTTCTTGCACTCATTTTGAACTGACTTGTTATAATTAATTTTTTCACGATCTACTTAAACTGCATTTTAATCAGCAGCTTAAGTTGCAACATCCGGCATGTGTCTTATATATTATGGTCTAAGAATTTGTAGCATAGTTTCTGGTTCAACTATTATCCTCTCCGCAAACTTCCCAAAATATTACATGAACCAATTTCTAAACTACATGCATCGTGTACGACCCGAGTCGTATTTTATGAGATCAGCTCACTATTCTGGCATCATCTCTGATATATATTCAAGCCATGACCTTCCCACATTACTTTCTATAAACCTCTTAGAATTTCTTTTAATTCTGAATCAAGATCTGAGCATTATCGAATAACTAATACGATATCATCAGACTGAACCTATTAACTCCTGAGTGGACACGTGCCTTCGCATGAATCGGAATTTAGAAGAACCGGGAACCTGGTGAATATTTATTTTACGTCTTTTCACAAAAACAAGCTCTAGTTAAACTGGCACAGTTTAAAAATTTTTCAGTTCAAAGTAAAAAATGAATAAGCACATGCCATATTTTACTCAGAAATCAAAGATAAAAGTTGCTGAATCTTTCGTTCTTAATTTTATTTTTTCGCACGTGTGCCAAGTTTGAGGATCAAATTTCATCAGTTAACCAATAAGCAAATTTGTCTCTTGCTGCTTGAAACGCTGAATGAAAAGCGAGACCAAAACTTCCAAGATATATTTGGGGGTCAAAGTTTTATGCAAAGAATATCTTAATTTCCTGTAACGAACAGAAAGCATAGAAATTTCTTTCGAGTACGAAACCCGCGCAACAGAATATTCACAACTTGGATCGTTCTTTAACAAACTTCGCCGCCAGAAAATTGCGTACCGTTGCGTTAAAAGTTCTGAAAGTTATATGTCTTAACACAAAACATTTTCTTAAACAATACGTCTACTATTTTCTTTTAGCATTCCCTGTGACTTCCAAACAAGCAATATTCGGTAGTTTTAAGTTTCAGCTCGCGCTTTATAATCTTGCTAAATCACCGTAACATCTCAACTACACTGTCATGAAGTGCTTGAGTTATTGAAAGTGTTAGCTGTGCCCGGGTTTATGTTCAAATGACCACAGAAGTACTCAGATAATAAGAGTAACTCACCTTCAGAGTGCCAATCTTCTTTGGAAATATTCTGTAATTAAAATTGACGCAGACATGTCAGACATCAGCTTAAGCGATTCCACCCGAGTACTTAGCGAATTGCTCCGATAGAGGAATGATTTCCGAGGTATCGAAATGTCGCCGATTTCTCGCACATTTCCCGAACTCAACTAGCTAACCAATTTACTAGCGAGGTGAATACTATAACAGCCCGATGAATAAAAAGAATCACAAAACTTTGCAACTATTACAGTTTATTTTTCACAGGATTACCGACTTAGCAGAATTCGTGATCAAATGACAACTTCGGGCAACACTACGTGGAGGTAACGTGGCGTTGCTTATCAACTCTGTTAAATGGAATTCTATCCTGTCGGAATCAGAGAACCTTTTCAAAGCATCAAATAACCAAACTATCATATCAGACAGGTTTATGAATAACGTCAGCGTGACAACTAAGAAGAGCACCGGACTTCTTAAGACATATCTGAAGTAAAGTAGTCCTTGTCTTCTGTGCCACGCGTGACACAAGTAATGTTCGTTGTGACATTTTCACAAAAATTGCGTGACTAGTCATGGTGAATATCGCGAGATACAATTGCAGTAAGTATAATGATCTTTCAATAAAATTGTAATAATTATCTTCATAGATATACATCACCATATTCAAATAGAGAGCTTATACATTTTAGTTACCTGTGTCAATACTTAATTTTCCTTCTCATTCTGTCCTAATACAATGCTAGCGAATTTGCATTAAGAAGGGATTGGCGTGACATAATTATATTTTCTACTGGAATGTGTAAAAGTAGAAGTATTAATCCTATGATCTCTGTCTGATTTTAGACAATCACACAAGTTGAACGTCAACTGAGACACCTTCAATGTATCATGTAATATACAACTCAGGTAGATTTTTAAAATCAATTTTTGTATTAGGCATAGTGATATTTTGTCATTAACAGTTATAATCATTGAAGAAAATAGATTTGGTTAGAAAATCCAACGCGTTTGATTGGACAAGAAAACACACACAAAAAAATATCCCAATTATTAAATATCTTCGAGTTAAGTAACTGGACGATGGAATGATTACAGCTCCTAATATTCTCTATATTTTTGGAAGCAGATAACAGACTGTTCAAATAACCAGTTAAAACCGAGGATAATTAAATACGAACTCGCTTAATTTGAAAATCACTGAAGTGAACAGAACACACTCAAGAAGGTTAAGTCCTTACTTGAGGTTCCTGCTCAAAAATTATACACCATACATCCATAGCATTTTCAGATTAAATATATACTGATCAGCGATTTCACAGTTAAAGCCCTGCTTGAGACTTTCTCGTCCTTAGACGAGTTTTCACTTCGTAGTTAACACCCCCCAATTGTCCTCCTAAATCGCTTCTCCTAGGCCTCCTCTTCCGAGTTCCCTGCGCCTGCACATGGCTCGGATCAGCGGTGGGTTTGTCGTCAGGAGGTGTCTCGTGGATGTGTTTGGTGGATCTGAGGCCCCTCTCATAGTGCTGCTGCTCGCCACGCACCACTGTTCCATTCTGGTAGCCGCCATTAGCGAGACCGAAGTCGTACACCTGACCGTCTTCTTGGAATGTATGATTACCATTTTTTTTTATGTAATTCAGGGTTTTGGTGTTTGGATCTTCAGCAGGAATTTCCTCCAGGAATGTTGGCTTCTTTGTTCCCTTAGGTAAAAAGAGAAAAAACTCAGTTAGAGAAACGTTTCAGAGCGCTTTTCGATTTGAGTGTTGTAAAACAAAAACCAAAGTACTCACAACGGCCAATCAAAAGACAGGAAAATACCTTGAAGAGCCAATCAGAACTTAAAGAAAAACAACCAAACTACCTAAAGCGCGGGAAAACGCGGGCGATCAATTCGTGATTGGTGATAGCTTGGCATCTGAGTGGCGCAAATTTTTTAGACCAATCATAGAGCGGGTAGAGCAAAACCTGAGCAATCACGGATCACTTTCGACATTCAATTAAAAACTGCTCTATTGGTAATTTGAGTCTCACTTTCAAACCAAATGCGATTTCAATTGAAGTCGTCATACAAAAATGTGCCATGATCTTACACTAACCCTCTTTACTTTAGTTCGTAGGATAGTTTTAGATGTGACTGAAAAGGTTGTTTTTTTTGTAGTTTTAGTATAATTTATATTGTTTTAAATCAATTTTCACGTTAAATATGTTAAAAATTAGACAATCTTTCATTGGTTTTACGTAAGGAAAGCTTAAAACGAAGTTTAAAATAAACTTTAAGTCAGTGATTAAGTTTTAACTGAAGTTCATAATTTCTTACGTATTTCTTGAGCATTTTTAGTCTCTCCACAATGTTTGCCTTCATAACATTGACTTCCTACAGAAAAATAACAACAGATCATATATTGCAAACGTTGTTTGAAAGATTTTAATTGAAACGACTTTTATTTCAATCAAAGGTAAATATTACAGTTTATATTTATTTAGGTTTATCGTCACTTTTATTTCACTGTTTTCTCTTTAAAGGCTGTGCACCAAAAATATTCTAAAAGTTAATTATTGTTTCATTTAAATTGATACATTTAAATCGTACACTTGGTGTATTGAACACATTGGACGCAGAGGTCATACGTTTGTGAAAGTGGCCTACATTGTGCCCTCAGGCTGTACAAGCAAAGTTGTCGCCGAGGATTCATAAACAAATAACCGAGCCAGTGTGTTACGGTGTTTTAAAACATGCAACTTTTCTTTCGATCAAATGAAAAATCAAACTTTAAAATATTCCCTCTCCCTCCTTTGGTTTCATTTACTAAAAAAGTAAAGATTTAAAGGAAACTTTTCACTTTTTTTGGAAAATTTGCGTTACATTGTGTTTCCTCATTTTTTCCTCCAAAGTTTGTGCAAGAATTTTGAAAATTTCGCGCAGCTTGCAAAAATTGATTCATTTACTAATATGCCACGTTTGACCGCTGGCTAATTTATCACTATTTTTATTATTGATTTGTTTTAAGAAAGATTTTTATCTTGTACTTGAAAAAGTACGCCAAATTAATGTAAGATTTTATTTTTGACCATTTTAAACTCTGTTATTTACAACCCATTTAAACCGAAGGCCGCACTGTTTTATGTATGTCACATTCACTTAAATCCTGGCCATAAGTTACATGCACTCAACAAAACCAGCAGTCTTTAGTCAAGCATGAGAGAAATTTCGAAGGAAAACATAAGAAACATCTGCTGTCACGAAAAATATGCGAAAAAAGCATTGAAACGTTGGTGTAAATCTGAAAAAAGGAACAAAGATTATGGAAAAGGAAAACTCGAGACTTTTCGTACCTAAAGCTTATTTAACTACGGGTTTCCGGCGGATTTACCATTTAGTTTTGAGCTTTACTAAACAAGATGTATGGTTTTCAAACACTGCGGCAAATTCACTAGTAGTTATCTATAAGACATTTTTGACAGTCTGAAAGCACCTTAGCCCGGCACCAAGCCTCTACATCCTTCCCACATACGCAGACATTTTATCACTGTGTTAACTACAAAGAATAATTTCACTATGCCTATTTTCTGCATTTAATCAATATTGTGGAGCCTGTCTTTAAAGTACGAAAATTTTAAATAACACACATCACTATACTTTACTGCAATAAAACATTTTAACACTCGATTTAATTGGTGTTTAGGCCTCCACCAATCAAATGTCTCCAACTTGCTAACTAACCTTTGATTTTGTCATGACCATAAAATACAAAACCATCAAACTGATTCCCATCTGCAAGAGAGAGATTACAATCCAATCAATGCGTCAAAACACAATAGGCATTCTTAACCCTTCAACTCCCATGAATGACCAAGACAGAATTTCTCCTAACAATATCAATACGATATTCAGAAGACAAGTGAGGAGAATAAATAAAAATATCAATTAGAAGATTATTAGATGATCCAATATCAAATTCTCCAAACTCACATAATAAGAATTGTATGGCAGACAGTAAGGAGAATTACTTATGACATCTTGGAAGTGAAAGGTTAAGCATAGAAAAGAAACATAAGACAGTTATTAACATTCACACTTTGTTTTCTCACCTGAAAGAGCAGCCATAAAGTTATGCTGACAATTTCTGCTTTCTTAAACATGTCCAGTCCATATTTGATACAAATAAGAAGTTCAAGACAGGTGATGACTCTATTGTTAAATAAAACAAGAAACATCAAGTTCAGTTATCATAAGTAACATGAGGTAAATGTTGTAAACAATGGAAACAAAGTAGAGTTTTCCAAAGGGATCTACTTACATTAGCACCCATGCCTGAGTTCCAAGCCTTCTGCTTCTTGTGTCTGTAATGTACACATAGTACTGCCTATAGTGACAGGGAAGGAAAGTTTTATACCCACACTGAGCATCAAAGACACAAGTCAGTGATATAAATCCATGTTGTAACTGTAACACACACAGGGCTTGACACCAAAATACTACAGTCCTGACACAATGAAACTTTTGTGATTTTCAGACAAATGGAAAAGCCTAGTAACAGGGCTTTTTTTAAATAAATGCAGTGGGTAAATTGAGACAAACATTTGCATAAAACATCATTGATACATTGCTGTTTAAGTTTAGGAAACATTTGCCCCTCTTTCTTGGTTTTCTGAATATGAAGCCTTAAATGTCCATGAACAGGAGTTTCAAAGAGTTTCCTTCCATCATTTTTTTTCTCTTCTGCTAATTACACTTTTATTTCTGGTGAGCAGATGACAACTTCAAAAAACCTGAGTAAGCAACCCTGGGCTTTTAGCTGATAGAGGGAACCTCTTAGGAACTTTGTTACAACATCAGCTACTTTGAGCACAGTTGACACTAATTGGGAACACAAAAACTAAAAAATTAAATTTAAAACAAACTGTAAATAAAAAAGTCTCTACAATTCCAGTTCCATCTTCTTTAATCTAAGAGTCTGATATTAATTTTTTAAGTTTAAGATGGCTTATCATTTGATTACCAAGGCAACAGCACTGCAACAATAGCAAAGAAGGCAAGCATCAGACTTACCTCAAGGAAGGTGCCACAGTGAGACTGATGACAAACAACCGAAAGTAGTTCAACCAGTGAGATGTTGGAACCCACAGAATGTGTTTAAGAAAGAATGTGTTAAGCTCCACAATCTAAAGATAAAAAGACTAGGTTCAGAGTTGGAGTAAACTAACCAATTAAAACAGATTGTTGTAATACCTATGAAAATGAAAAATACTTAATGATGAGGCCTCCAATCATTTAACCCTTTAACTATCAGAAGTGATGAACAGGTTACTTCTCTCCACAACATCCACAATTTTTTCAGCAAACAGGTTATGAGAATACTCAAACTTATCAGGCAGAAGCTAAAAATTCTTGTAACTAATTTACAAGAAAATGTGTAGAGCAAGAGGGGAGAATTAACATGAGATCTTATGAGTGTAACAGTTTAAAGTGGATTTCAGGAGGTTCCTTATCAGAATAATAATAATCTTAAACATTGACAAACAAGGACTAAAACAAAAATCAGTGATCTAAAAATGTGGAAAGCTAAAAAGTTGTGGTTTTAAGTAACTTTGGGCATTGGTCTCCTCTGTTCATTTGGCAATAAAGTCCAATTTATTATCTATAAAACCCTGAAGTGATTTCAAACTAATCTCTGTGTTTCACCTACCTGAGAAATAATCAACAACTGATATATGGCAAAAAATCGCATATAGGAACATTTGGGATCCATCCAGCGAACATGTGTCCAACTGAAAGAGTCAAATTATCACTTAGTTATTCCATTGCTACCTTTAGTAAACTAACATGTCCAAAATCTGCTCTCCTTGATGGTAAAATGACCAATGAATCTTTCTTGGATATTAAAAAAAGTAAGCATGAATATCAAGTTACATATTTTCTCAAACTACGGAGATGATCACATTTTCTATTCCAAAATACAGGAACAGATGAGTCGTGTAAAGAAACAAATAAATGTTGTCCATGTTCAGATTGAGAATTAGCTCATGCTATAGAAATTTGATCATAAAATTCTGCATACAAGCCAAAACATTTTCTGATCTGTGTTGCCTTATGAAAACGATTAAGACGAACCTTGCAGGAGTAAACTGCATAGCAGCTCGACGCAGTTTTCCAGTGGTTGTCTGAATATCCCTTTAAAAATCAGAGAGCCAAAAATTCAATCTCATCTGTGTGAATGTAAACTTAATCTGATACAAACACTCAAAAAAATTTTTTACATAAAATCATTGAGTAACATTAAACATACTTGATACTTTCCCAGTGATAGTTGCGCATTTCCAGTTTTTTGCACACATACAGTCCAAAGTGGATTCCTAATCCATTACAGATCAGGAAATCTAACAACAGTGCATCCCACCAGCATTCCGCAAAGTTGGGCAACAAGTGAGAAAAGAATACCTGAAATGGATTATTCATAATATATAAATTACGTGATAAGATGAATTAAACAGTACAATTTGATTGGGTTTTAATTATGAAAGACTAGAGGACAGACACATGGATTATGTCACAATTCACAACTTTCTGCTAATTTATTGCTTATTCATCAGATGAAACAAATAAATTACATGTGACCCTGTGCCTTTTCAGTGATAGATCATGAAACATTTCAAAATGTGGTTAGAACATAAAAGACAGACTTGGCTTTGCCTTTTGTAAAACTTTTTTTTGTCTTACCACATTTTGACAATGCCTGTGACCTGTTACTTAGGAGACACTGACAACAAAATGGAATCTGTTTTTTGCTATATAATGAGCCAATTGATTGGTTATCATCTACATGTATAATCTACTGGAAGATGGTCACACAAATGATATCACCATTAATAGGTTTGTTCTTTCACTATTACAAAAAAAATTGACTCCATGTTTTCATGGGCCTGTACAGAAACACATTGGAGAGGACATCAAAATATGGTAAGATCATCAGTGACACACTCCGCTGCACCTGCTGAGTCACGTTTTTTTTCTTATCACATTTTAATGTCATCTGTCATCTATTACTGAAGAGATGCACCGCAAAATGGAATCGATTTGTTGAAGTTTAATACCTCAGTGACCTCCCATGTTATGCTTGCAATCCACAACAGCCATGCATTGCGAATAAGTAATGCTTTCAGAGCCCAACCAAAGAAATGCGCAAAGGCAAAGATATCACAGTGACCCCACAGTCGGGCCAAAGACACCTGAGAACAGTTAACAGCATATTCCTGTGACAAGAAAAAACAAACAAACAAACAAACATTCAAACTAATAAACAACTTCTAAAACAAATGGTTGGTTGTGGACTATGAGTAGAAAGACTGTGGCACAACTTTCCAACTGCAGAGTGAAGTAAAGCAAATCTAAAGCAATCTCACAAAACTCCAGAGATTCAATTGAAAACTGTTGTAAAAGCACTCAATAAACACAGGAATCTAATTATGAGGAACAATTTTAAATTTCATCTCTGTAACCTTTGTATCTGGTCCTTCATGGCGCAATTCAGGGTCAAAGAAGAAGAGAATATTTCGGAAGTCAGCACGGGTTTGGAACAAAGCAAACGCAAGAAAACTCATGTACAGAACACTGGCACCTAGTGAAAAACAGACAAATAAAAAAGATCAGTTACACAATTTGTATCATCAAAAAGAATTAAAAAAAAAAAAAAGAATTGGGTGAAAAAATGAAAAAACCTCTAACCAATTACTTATATCACAATTATATTCATTATCTCCATATAAAACACCATGGTAAGCACGTTATCATCTGATTATAATTGTACAATTAGATGATTGATTCAACAAATTATTTTACATTGCAATAGTTATTTGAGACTGTGCATATCACTAACAATTAATACAGTTACAATTGCTTTTTTTCCCTCTGCCAAAAAGTTTGCTGCAATTTAGTTAAGCGAACATAGTAAAGTCTCAGTGTTATGTTTGCTTAGAAGATCTTTGAAACTATTTACAAAATCTGCCTTTAGACTTTGTTAGAAATATATCTGTACAATCCTCTTACCAAATATCATTCTCCAAAGAGCAGGATGAGGTCTGATGAATGGACCTAAAAAAAAAAATTTGAGGAACAAAATTTCAAATTAGCTAATTTTTAGGGCTTTATAGGGAGAACACAAACCTTAAAGTTTTAGGTACAATTTTGCTTTAAGTGATGCAAAATTTCCAGAACAAGAATTTCATTTGAAACTGGGTTCTTAGAAAACTCACAAGAGGATCAGTTTTTTAAAAGCAAAATACAAGTTTCTTAAGGACACCTCACTTCTTGAATAGGCCATTTTGGTTGACAAACCCTTTACACCCAAACATCAATACCAATACCAATATTCTTCACACTGTTCCCTCTACATGTTCTATGGTTATGACAAGGATTAAATTTATTTGACAATCTGGAGCTTCTTAAATTTGTGATCATTTCCATTTTCTCATGACCCTTACTTTTAATTCAAGGGTGATACTATAAGGAGAAACTAGAAGCCAGTCACTTATTTTATCTAGTAGATTAAAATAGTTACCGTTTGGCATGACAAGAAGACTGAGAACAAGAAAAACGACAGCAAGGGAAACCATCCCACTCCAGATATTCTCTTCACGAGTGGCATCTGGATTTCTTTGAATAATGAAAAGGCCAATAAGCTGTGTTAATTCCTATCTCATGATACAGAAATAAATCAATTGTGCAATTTACTGTAGTTACTCAGTCCGGAAGTTTAAAGGTTAATTACTCATAAAGTTTTGTACAGCAATACAGTCACTATTAAGCAAAGCAGAGATCCTTGCAGGTAAGGTGGAATTTAGGAAGGTGCAAAAAAGAAGCTGGAAAGAAAAACCAGGCTTGGACAGGATTTGAAATGTGCCGCCCAGATGCTAGTTAGCCACTACTGCTAAATGAGCTACCAAGCCATAGATTGGGAGTGAGACACATTTTAAATGACTGTTATTTCCCGAGAAGGAATCTGATCATTACATTTAATTAAAAAATGAGACAGTCTCTAACAGCCATCATTATTACTACTTGGTCTGTAATTTTGAATTTTGCTTAGATGACAAAGAAAATTTCATTCAGTTGACAAAGACAAGTGACATAGAAAAAAAAAGTTGAGAGAGAGACATAAAAGTAACTGATGCTCAAAATTAATCAAGCGTAACTTTTAAAATTAATTTTGACAGAAAAAAGTCTGATTATTAACAACAGGAAACAAAGCATAATAAGCACAAAGAGCAAAGTACCAGTTACATGTAGGTATGACAGAATGGCAGGTGTCAAGTGTCAAAGTCATCAAGGAATTGCATCCATCTTTAATCTAATTTAAAATCTCATCCAAAGTGTAGTTGACCTAATACTACATTTTATATAAACAGATCAACTTTTTACGGCCATTATAATTTTACTTGTTTAAATCACGTGTAGATTTTCGAAAGCCATCTGTTAATTTCCACCTGTTAAGATCCACCAAATAAAATAAAATGAACGCAAGAATGAGCGGATTAAGTTTAGAGGATACATTCATTGAAACAAGCCGAGATCAACAAAGATTGTTCAGCGAGACTTATGCCAACTGAGTGCAGTAAGAATGCATATAAATGAGGCCATGACATCCATAGCACCGTGAAATTATGACTCAATCAACCAAAACTTGACTTTGAATCCCACTTAATTTTTTTTTAATCTGAACATAAAAAAAACTGTGTTAAAAATTCATAGTTTCTTTTTGAATTGAGAAAAGTTGAGATCCAAGTGTATGTTGCGAAGGAAAATGATGACAAAACAGCCCGCCCAGAAAAATATGACATGTGCATGTAAAAACCTCACCTGGTGAACGCTGAATATACAAGGTAAACAAACAGGCACGCTAGAGCCGTGATGGACCGTGGCTTATAGAAAAACTCTAGGCTAATATCTTCCACGATCTGCTCACTGGCATCTTGATAATCGTCGGTGGAGATTGTAGAAGTTGTCGAAAAAGTTCTTTTGCGGCGCCGCGGACTCCGATCGTCCGCCATCTTATTTGCATTAGAAAATTTTACTGGGAGTTTATTGCTCTCCCCAGTCTCTCGCGTAATTATTTCCCTCTCCCCAGACTTTTGTTTTTCCTTTTCGGCCGAAACAAATATGGCGGTGAGTGTCCTCTAAAAGTGGTTTTTAAAAGAATCCGCTTACATCGTTCCATATGATTCCCCGAGGTCTTTGAAAACATAATTTCTTCTTAAAAAAATCACTTCTCCCTTCAACTGCCTTAATTTTTTGGCCCACATTCTCGGTGTTAACCACGATACAGGAAAAAAATTTGATCGATACCTATATGTATTTTTTATTTCTCTTCCGTACTATGAACAATAGTGTTTTGATAGTTTGATTCTGAACAAGCTTTTGACTCTTTAATGAGCCAAGTTGAGGCGAAAATCGTGATCATCTCAATTGTTGCTCCCGCATACCCTGCTGGTTTTACTGTCACCACCACTGAAAGAATTAAACACTGGAATACTAACGTTCCAGATTATGATACATTGGACATTTATTACCAATTTATTATCACACAACCATTTACTATCCTTGTTTAAACAAGGATAAAAAATGTTCTTGTTTTTGTTCAAATATAATTGTACCTGTCTTCTTTTACGATCATTGAGTTAAGACGATATAAGTTAGAAACTTCATGCGACCTGTTCAATATCAGCCAGTCTGCTGGCAGTCATTCTTTACACCAATAGCAAAATGAATTGGTCATACAGCGTGATTGTTCACGTGAAAATAGTCCTGAGAAAGGTTTTAAGCAGTAGCAGTCACTGATGTTGCAAGAATCTGAGTGAAAATCATGATATGAGATGTATGTCATTAGGAATGACTGAGGTGGGTCATTGGCCACTGTGCCCCACTAAATCACAAACACAGTTGCCAACAGAAATGCAACATATCTTCACTTGTAGTTTAGCACAGAGTTGATTCTCATTGGTTGGTTTGGTTAACAGGTTCAGGCCAAACAGAATCCCATGAAGGAACTGCAAATCAGGAAGTTAGTTCTAAACATCTGTGTGGGTGAGAGCGGGGACAGACTGACACGTGCTGCCAAGGTTCTTGAACAGTTGACTGGGCAACAGCCAGTGTATTCCAAAGGTACAGAACATTTTGATTTTACAATTGTAACTATAATAGGGGGAGAACCTTCAGTCATCACTTTGGTTGTCAACACATGTTGCCAACTATTGGTCAGAATGTGTGATCTTATCAAGTAACTGTTGTTCATAAGATAACTTAAGAAAACTTTAAGATAACTTGAGTTATCATCTGAGTTCATTATGTAAATTGGCCATTGTAATGAGTTTCCAAAGCTATTATGGCAAATTTGCATAAACAACTCAGTTGTTAAAACCAAATTATCCTCTACTGACTTAGCACCACAGTTTCTTGAGAAACTTACCTGCCCTATTCATACCTGGCTTAGGTTGAATTGGAACTGATATTTACTTTTTAGTGATTACAGCTTCTGAACTAAATTTTCCATCTAAGTGTTGTTTAAACTATATTCGTCTTGTATAGCTTAGTAAAAGTCAAAGCCAAACTAAGGGACTTAATGATATAGGGATATAACAAGCATTTCATCTCGTCACATATGATGTTAAATTTTGTGTTTTGAACATCTGCATCCTGTTGTTATATTCCTTAAAATACAGATTTTCACATCAGTTTGAAGTACCAATAAGCTGAAAAAATGTAGCAGAGCATAATATTCCTTTCTGTAGACTCTGTAATTATAAACAGATTTAAGATAGAGAACTTTTTTGTTTAGCTCGCTACACAGTGAGGTCTTTTGGTATCCGAAGGAATGAGAAAATTGCTGTCCACTGCACTGTGCGAGGTGCCAAGGCTGAAGAGATCTTGGAGAAGGGATTGAAAGTGAAGGAGTATGAACTGAACAAAGAGAACTTCTCTGCCACAGGTTTGATTTTGTAAAATTTAACTTTTTTTTTTAGATATTTAAGAAAAGTGATCAAAGGCTTATGATTAGCAACTTGGCAAAGACATGATAATAATAGCTCTTAAGAAACTTGTGGGGTGGATAAATGGATTTGATGTTATCAGTTAAATTTCTGTTTTTGTCAGATTTTGTCACCATGAGCAACTGATTTATATCGGATTGTGTGAATCTCTTTATAGACTGCTGAAATGGAAATTAGAATTATCACAAAGAAAAAAAGTACTTTTTCATGAGCATAGGATGATGAAAAAAATCTGGGTTTTTCAGTAGAATCAAGCTTTAGACCTTTGTTTTTCAAGGCCCTGTGGTCTGCCATGGGCACTGATAAGCAATTATGAAAGCAGCATATTGATCCAAATGTTAAAAAAATAAGTTATCTGCCATCTTTCTTAAACCAATTTGAAACATTACAACTACTTAACCCAACTATGCTGTAGGAAACTTTGGTTTTGGAATTCAAGAACACATTGATCTTGGCATCAAGTATGACCCAAGCATTGGTATCTATGGAATGGATTTCTACGTGGTTCTTGGACGTCCAGGGTTTAATGTGGCCAAGAGAAAAAGAGCTAAGGCTCATGTTGGTGCTCCTCACAAGATATCAAAAGATGACTCTATGAAGTGGTTCCAACAGAAGGTATCTTTTAAAACCTGTACACCCTAACATCAGTTTGCAAGTTCCTCATACAATTCTCTTTAAATTTCTTATGGTTCTTACAAGGAGAATTTCTCTTTATGATCAAGAGCTTCTTGATGTGGCAATCATTCCCTTTCATCTCATGACCCTAATGTTTGATTCAGACACCATACTGTTAGGAGAAATTAGATGCATATCACTCTTGGGGGTTCAGGGTCAAATTCTCTTGCTGGTGAAGTTTTCAGTTGAGTTTTAATGGAAATGCAGGATAACATTGATTTTAAAGTACTTTCTTTCTTTTGAGATAATTTGGTTTTTATAAAATGAGCAGATAATGTTAATTGATCATCATGAAGAGTTAAGCTGACAATTATTTGCTCTGACCAATGGCTAATGCTTGAAACAGCAGCTTTAAAAACTATCAACAGTGGCCATTTTCATTATTAAACCAGTTGATAAAACTAAATTATCCTGTATCACCCTCTTCCCCCCCCCCCCATTAAATTGGCACCACAGCTTCTCAAGAAACTTACCTTCACTATTACTTTGTTCTCAGTCTCCTTTGCAGCCGTTTCTAGAGATAGTTTTGTCTGTGCTGATTTGGGACTAGATGTATTGTTCTGTTTCTTGTCGTGCAATTGGTAATAATTGGTCTTTTTTCTTTCTTTTCAGTTTGATGGAATCCTTCTTAACCCAAAGAAAAAATCCTGAGCTATGAAATAAACAGAACTTCCATCAGACTGTTTTGTTTTGGTTTTTAAACTTTATTCAATATGCATCTTCTCTATATTCTTCTCTATGTATTTCCTTTTGAACTGATAAGGAGAATTGGTTTAACAATCAAAGCTTCTTGGGTTGTTGATCATTTCCTGTATTCTCCTGATCTCAATGAATGAATTGGTAGTATTGCACTTAGAAGAAATAAGATGCTGGTCACTCCTATCATTGAAAACAACATACTTTATGGTTGTTCCAGATATTCTTATTTTGATAACGATTTTTGTGTCTGGTTTTTAAAGAAAAGAAAGATCTTGGAAGGGGAAATCCCAAAATAACCTAGAGAACTGAGGGACAGGTTGCATATTTTGGATTACTCATTCAAACTTTGTCTGTTTCCTGGCTTAATCAGCTGCAGAAGGTGGCTTAAAGTCTCTCTTGCCAAAGCACCCGTCTGAGCTGGGAATGTTTGTGTTCTGGGTGTTCTGAGAAAGCTCTCAAACATCGTGACTAGTATCGAGGGCAGATCTTCATTAAGATATCAAGAGTTTGTTGTTGGAAAAAATTCCTATACACATACTTAGGAATGGTTCCAAACACTTTGTATATCGAATTGATGCTGGACAGGAAGTGGCATTTTTCCTCGTTGAAAGGTTCATAAAACAAATTTTATAGATTAATTTTATTAGGTTGCTTTTGTTAGGTAAACTTTACACTCTTAATACACACTGAGTACTGTTATTGAAGCATTTGTCTTTCTCATTAGCCAGTATACATTATTTCATGTTATCTCTTCAACAGCTGTAAGTGAGTAAACCGGACTAAGTAAACGACGCGAAAGCAGTAGAAAGAGAAAATCAGGGAGAGGGGGTCTGGGTCAGGTCACGCAACCAACGCTTTTTTTACGCGACCTAACCTAACCCTCCCTCGGGTTTTCGCCTTGCCGCAACTATTGCGCATGGATTTCACGCCGTTTTATACGCTGAACATCAAGAACAGGCAGTTTAACTTGACGTATAATTTTCAGCGAGAAGATTTAAACTAGAGCGACTTGAAAGTTCATGAAAAAGGGCATAAGTTCAAATGATAAGAGAGCTCGTAATCTCTCTGATTGATGAAATAGTTTTCTGAAAGGGAAATGGAGGTCAAAGTAACCGTAGATTTGACTGCATTGCTTTTGATACTGAAAACATCTAACATACATCACAGCTAGGTAATCGATGGCTTTACGCTTTGCAGTCCACCGTGACGGGAAAACTAACATACGTAGTTTGTAAAAAAGTTTTTTTTTTTCTCGATGAGATCATAGTGCAGGGCTTGCCACAACAACCACCCCTCCCCCATGCACTTCCGTGTTGTCACTGAGCACAGTTTACTCAGCAGTGCTCAATTCAGTCAATAGAGGCTTCAGCGCTTTGCTGGATCCTTTTGATGTACCCAGGTAAGACATGATGGCTTTTTTGACATGGTAACGTGACTGCTCTGGCAAAGTATTCAGTTCTGTCAGGTTCATTCGCTGCCAATCATTCACTGTTCTAGAATGATCTTCTTTCATCCTTTTTTCAGCCTTCGATTCCTTTAGACGCTGAAGGTCACTTCTGAAAAACGAACACATTCGTGTCATATGTGAAGCTTGAATCTGAATTCAATTTAGCTCGGGTGGTTGAGCAGTTCAAATTATCGACGGGAAGTCACATTTTTTCTAGCCTGTGAAGAGGCAAGTTTACAGAATACGGCAGGTACATTCACGACTTCTTTTTAAACGTTCACTTTGCCCGCCAGAATCGCTGCAGCACAGAGTACTTCAACCACAGCAACTTCACCTGGCACGTGTGAGTTCTAGACTTTAAGTTGTATTGCACGCGCTGCACGCGGCTAAAAATGGACCGGCTCAGATTCGTCTCGTCAAATTCTGCCAAACTCTGCAGACTGGTGAATGTCTTTCTCGTCTACCTTTCATTAAGTAGTAACTGGCGTGAGCTGAGCGGGAGACACACAAGGGAAAAAACACGTAAATCGCGCTTTTCTCGCGCGAAATTAAGGAAAACGAAAAGACTGCTTAGCACAAAACTGTTTTCTTCATGGCGAGCTCGTTGAGACTGCTCCTTTTTGCTCAAGGTGTTTCACAGGATTATATTAAATAAATGTGTATAAGGTTCGCAATGAAATGGGATTGGCTAGCGTGAAAGTAACAGTATATCTCTAGAGAGGTAAAGTTATTAAGACACACTATCTCCCGGTTTGGTTACTATTCTTTGTTTGGAAAAGAATCTTTTAGGTAGAGCCTGAGAGAGTCAAGATACCCACAAAAGTGTCTTATTGTGGCTGTCACAGGGAATTTAGAGGAAAGGAATTTACTGACCTAAATGGTTGGACGTGAGAGTAGTTCATGTTGAAATGTTGGTACTGTTTTTGTTGAAATCTTGGGTAGGCTACTTTTGGTATCGGAGGGAGCCTGGTACTGCCTTTGCTGCTTTCCTTTCCAGATACATTTTTGCTCCTTAAAACCATAAGGAAAAGAATAATGATTTACTTGTGACAAAGTATTGTAGCTAGGGCTTTCTAGTGTATAAGAATATATGGTTTGTTTGATTATCAACACGATGTACTGGTTTCTTAGTTCATCTTAGATAAAAAGTTTACCACAGGGCAGGTACGTACCAGATTTGAGGCTTGTAAAAACAGCGTGGAATAACGGAGTCATATTTGGGACCTGGAAAACTGAGAGAAAGCTGAGTTAGTATGGAGAGGCCCCACGCGTGTAACTAGACTACGACGGAAATTAAGAGCGGTATTTTTTAATGAGTGCAATAAAATTAAAGTAATCGCATCAGCCAAAGTGGACAAGGGTAAAATATCAGAGAGGGCCATTGAGAGATTATGGTAAAACATTCAAACTCTTAGAAGTGCAAGAAAACGCAATTGATCAAGTCGCGAATGGTTTTGTTTTTGGTTTTGATTGGTTGAAAAGTTGGCGTGATTTTTGTAGACCAATCATAGAGCGCATTGGAGTAAAAATAAATAAAGTCCCGGTTTGCTTTTCAATCGCAAATTTCTACAAAGATAATAAAAACTTACTGATCCATCCTCCAGGACTCCTCTGGGTCTGAAAGTTCAACAAAACAACCCATTACATCAAAGACAAATAACTCTCCACGTGACTCCGATGATGACTTCCACTCCGCGCGAGAGGCGTCAATAGTTATACCCTACAACAGTCCATTCCAGGACTTTCTCAGCCGCATTATCAGACTGCACAATTTAGCGTTTTAACGCGTCCTATATGGAGCATTAAGCATTGAATCTTGAGTTTAGCCCCTTGACCATACTTGGTTTCTCTTTCCTTATGATACTTACCGACAAGTCGGAGAGTCGTGGCTCGTGTACCCCACCCCGGACGGGGAACATAGTCAACCTGCAACCAATAGTAGTATCTGCATTACGAACAGGGAAGGCTTTTAACCTATAGCTGAACGGTAAGAGAGTCACGTGTACATACTCCATTTTAACCAATCGAATAAAAGCTATTGCATACATATAAAAAAATCGTATCATATAATATGAAATGATGGAAAATAAGTACGATTTAAATACCCTTTGATACCATTTTTATTGATAATTATTTACCCACCTGGTCATCGATCATGTAGTTGACGATGTAAGTATTGTAATATGGCGCAAGATCATTGAAAACATCCGGTGTGTATGGCTTCCTAAAAAAAAAAATTTTCAAAAATGACGATAAAATCTTTCCAGGGATTGGGTTTAGTAAATCACAATATACCCCCCCACCCAAAAAAAAAATTGTAAACTGCAGAAAAACTTCTAAGAAAGATACTCACACTTCTGTTTTGCTGACCAAACCACTGTTGTCAATCATCTCTTTTTTCACCCGATGTAGCTCACAAAGCATCTGAGAGCGCATGCGTTTCTGTTCTCGTTTGGGTTCTTCTTCCTCTGACTGCTGCATTTCCGGTGCGTCTGAATTGTTCACGTGATACCACCAAATAAGGAGAATAAAAAATTTTTTACTTGTTATACCAAAATGAAATCCAAATAAATTATTTGTGCGATCTTCTATTGTCGAGTTTTATTCTTGTGTGTTGTGGCTAATCCTCTAGTCGCAACACATTACTGTGATCCTTTTCTTTCCAGTTGTTCCTGATTTTCGATTTAGCATGTCACTAGCACAGCGCGCGGAAGAATCAGACCAAGTCACGTTTACATAATAAGCTGAATTTCGTACAAATTTGATTGGTTCTTAGTTATGGTCTCTAAGAAACTGATGCATAGATGATGTCATCATCGACATTTTTTTCTTCTTTATTATATAAAACAAATAGACACCATGTGGGTCTGTTCAGTTACGGCAAAGTTACAAATATCAGTGACACATTCAGCTGAATCTTGTGTGCCACTTTTTTTATTTTTACCACATTTTGATGTTAACTGTGCTCTGTCACTGAACAGACGCACGGTAAAATGAAATCTACTTGTTGAGCTTTCAAACTGTTTGTGAGTCTCAATCTGTGAGATGTCCCTTGAAATTAAAACTCAAGATTGTAATTTTTCATGTGTTGTTGGTCTTATGGACGATGCGTGCGAGGTGCTATGTTGTACGGCGACAAAAAAAATCCCTAGTCTAGACGATGCAGTTGCAAGGTGACACGTGTGCAGTCTATCGTCTACAAATTTACATTTTATTTTTGTAAAATATGACTAAAAAAGTTTGTTTCACAAAGTAAAAATACACCAAAGTTTTTCCGGATGTAGAAGAGAAATGCAATTTGATTAGTGAGCGACGTCAGAAAACTGAACTACGATATAAGGAATCGAATGTATTGAGAGATGATGTATGTCTCGCCAAAACTAACACGAATGTTACAACCTGGTCAAAGACAGCAATGAAAACATGTTTCTCTTCAAAACTTTTATAAAATAACGATTGTTTACTGTTTGTGAAAATGAACACTTTGATATGGCCGAAAAAGTAATTGTTTGTTTTTTACATGAAATCTCGAAACAGCAAATATGTAAAACCTAACAAACGTTACTGAGATCCAAGAAGTATGAGTAACACACAAGGAAAACGTGACTATCTTTTTTTCAAGCGGAAAACAACTCGCCAAATTGTTGTTTCTCGTTGGTGAGGTGTTAGAAAGAAGTCGTGTGGCGTCTTTCATCATCAAGGCATACTTAACAAGTTCTTGAATGTAAACATTTATCAATTATCGTGTCGCTAGTCAAACTGTAGGAATATTAAACTCTCATTATATCTGAACATTCTTTACCTTGTGATGGAGCTTCATCAGCCATCGTATTTCAACTTTTTTAACAACCTGCGAAGGAATTTCTTTTGCTTAAACTTGAAATTATTATTTGCAGACAATTCAATGTTGTGGTATCACTTTCATTGTAAACTCGCAAAGCAAACTTACTCATTTGCAATTAGAGGCAATAAGATATGTTTTACTACTTAAAATGTTTGTTTAAAACTAAAACTTACCCAAAATATCAAAGAAAGGAACAAATAAATTTGCAGATATGTTGCGCTGTTGTCAGAGTACTTCAAGTTTTGCTAAGCTGTAAGCTCCCAAGGTTGGTTTCTATGGAGATCACTGTCTAATGGTTCCTTTGGGGCTGTTACAGTAATCATAAGTGCATATTTGCATATCAATTGAACGGATATTAAATATTCAAATAAAGGAAAACCGTACACTCGCGTGGTCTGGCATTTAGACAACAAAATAAACACTCATCAACGTTTGTGGTTTATCCTATAGAGGAACTATAAGCGCTAAAAGGTCTGTAAAACTGAAGAAATGAAAAGAATAGTTATCTCATTTGTATACCAGTTTTGTCAAATTAAGTGTGTACATAGAGAATAACATTTAATGATGAAATCAAAGGAAGTGAATCTTGCGTTATGCACAGAATGAAACTACCAGCCGATTGTATTTCAAATCAAATGAATGTAGAGAAAAAGATATCGTTTTGAAATTCAAAAGATGAAGGGTGAATAATCAAATGTAACAATGAAACATAAACCTTTAACTTTAAACTCTTTATTACAAATATCACTCGCAAAGCTCTGTGCGTCCAAAACCAAAATTGATTTCATTTTTTCATACCTTAGTTGATACATAAATTTATAGCTCTCTACTCTCTAAAATTCGTAAATGTTACACACAAAGGTGAAGAAAATTATAACGAAGTGTGTTTTAATGTTGCAAACAATTTTCTCAGTATTGAATGGTTTCTACAATTGTTTGATATATTGTTTTCCTAAAATTGCAGAAACCAGTCTCGACTTCGTCAGCACTCGTAAATGATCCTAAGTGTGACTGTTGACTTCGACTGTACTTGCCGGCCCTCGGAAGGGTTTAGACGTTTTCACTTCTCAATGTCTTCATAGAAAACAACTGACGTGCATGGCGGATATTGAGTTCACGCCAATAACTAAAAGTATGGAAAATATTGCGATCCAAAACGGGCTTTTTCCTGTAGTGCTGTTAGAATAATTTATTTATAAACACTCGTAATGATTTAATCATTAAAGGCTCCAAAAAACTCTCACTGCTGCAAGTTTCTCAAGAGGCTGCATCCAATTCTTTGGTCAGCGGTTTCAGTGCACGGCTCGACCCTCGGGAAGTCCCGAGATAGGACTCTATGGCTTTTTTGATGTGATATCTGGGGCTGGGAGGAAGTTTCTTCAGTTCAGATAGATTCATACGATTCCAGTCCTGAATTGTTCTTTCATAATCAGCTTTGGCTTGCCTCTCTGCCAGTGCCTCGGAGGTGCTGCTTAGCTCGCTCCTAAAAAGGATACATAGGAAATTCACATATTCCACAACGGTTAAACGTCTACGCATGTGCGAATGTTGTAATGACAGGATGGCGAGCGTTCAGGCAAGTTGTCTCACACGAGTTACAAACAACCACAGAAGCTAAAAAGTCACGATGTTTTAAAAACTTGAATAGGCTTTATGTTCGATAAGTGTTGAGTTTCCCTTCTCCCTACTTTTGTTTCCTTTTACAGATTTCTATAAACTTTTCAATTTTCTTCCACTTATCCTGCGAGACAGCGTTGTTTTTTAAGTTTTCCTTCGAAATTTTGCGCGGGAAATTGGGGCGCGGGCGGCCAGGATTAATCCCCTTACGCATGCTCTACGTTTGACCGCTGTGTTTCAACATATTGGCAGCACTATCAGCAGCACTTGCAATTGCAATTTTTCCTCACACATACCTGAAGTCAGCTAAGTGATCAAAGGTCATTTTGTGTGGCTGATAATTTGATTGGTTGAATTTCGGAAAATTTGGCATTGGTAAAGGAGGAAGTCTGGTGCTGCCTTCCTTGTTTGGTTGGGACAAGTTCCTGCTCCTGTAAACCGAATTGAAAACTTGTACATGGCA